CTACTTGGGAATAGCTTTTTTTGGGGGTGGGGGGGGGTTTGGAGGGGGAGGTATTTGTTGGCCCTCTCGCAGTCTGTAAAGCTGATTTATATACACTGCTGTATAAGCTACTGTGCAAACAGATTGGAAGTCCTTTTAAAAAAAAGTACGGACGACACTACCTGTATATAACCAGAGTAAGGGATGCTCGTGTATTGTTTATTGGCCTGAAAATTTGGCCTGGATGTTGGAGTATTTTCAGTAGGTACAGGTGAAGAGACAGTATCCCAGTTTCTTGGTCTACTTTGGCTGCAGCTTAAACTCTTCATGCATTATGTTAATATATAATACATATTTATCAAAATATGTATTATATATACATATACACACATGGGTACACATACATGCACAGCATCTTCCCAATAAATCTTATAAAAATGTCCTAGGTTTCTAATAATTCTATTTGAACCTTTTTAAAACCACCTTGTTAATTAGGCATGTGAGCAAAATTCTGAATTTTGAACCTTTGCTTTTAAGGTTCAGTGTTTTTTTTCTGGTCTTGAGCTTTTTGCCTTTGATATTGTGAACTGCATCATAATGTTTGTACTGCTGCTAGCTGGTAACCTACAATGTAGTAATTGTGGACTGTGAATTTTATAGGTGCTGCAGAATTATGACAAAAGTATAAACAAAACCAAATGAATAATGTACTGTTAATCCTTTCATTAACAATCTATAGATTGAACAAAAGACACGTGGATTGCATTTACCTATATTTTTAACAGTAGGACTACTCTGTGTGACTACATTGTATTCTGCTAAAATGTGTATTAAACAGATTTTTTTTAAAAAAGGTTAAGTAACGGACCAAGCATTAAAAACAAACTGAACAGCCACTAAGAACATCATGGGGAGGTGGGTGGGTGAAAGGGGTTTTGAGAAGAGTAATTTTGCTTATTTGTGTTTAATTACAATTAACATTACATGAAATGAATAACTGTGTGAAATGATATTGACCCAAAGCTTACCTTTTTGTTTAAAGCATTGGTTGATGCATCAAAACCAGTTCTTCGCAGATGTGTACTGCAAGTAATGATAGCTGATTTATGTGGTACTACTGGTATGTTTGAGTAAATGTGCGTTACACTACCTAGATGATGACAAGCCTGAATTATGTGAAGGAGCATGCTGATGTTTTGATAGTTTAATATTCCAGCCTTGTTGGTCGACAAAAGGGATACTGTTTCTCAGAAAATAAAGCCTAAACCGTGCAGAAGTCCAAAGCCCTTGGTACGATTTTTCCTTTATGTACAGTAAGGGTTATCATCCTACTATATATGAGAGAGAGCAAGCGTGGAGAGTAAGGTATGTTGGGTAGCTTTTGTAGCTACTGCCCTTGGCAGCCCTTGTATTTACTGTATTTAATTGTGCTGAATTTGCTCCCTTCCCTTCCCAGTCATAGGAAACTGCTGTCTGTTGTAAATACACAGTAAATACCACACCACCTAACTTTGCATATGTTAGCAATAAAATATTTTTGCACCATGTCCAAATGTGTGTGAGCATTCATAAAATATTCAAGTGCTAACTTTCATTCCCTCATTTGAAAATATTAATGTTTTTCCTTTAATAATCCTCTGAATTATGTTGAACATTTGATTAAACAGAGAATGTAGTGTTTTCCCTCACCATCCCGTCAGTTTGAACACTGAACCCACCTCTAGAATCAGGTTATTTATTCATGTGAAAAACAAGTCCGATTTTGAGTTCATGCACCAACACTTGGCTGCTGTGCTGCAGCATAGAATACCAGTTCCCATCTTCATTAATTTAATACTTTGTGGCTTTTGTATTCGTTTGAGTTAGAAAATCCCAGTAAAAGGTTTAGGAAGATTTGCCAGTTTTTTCCCTAATTTGTTCATCCAGCAATTCATCCTTTATTTAAAAAAATATACACAGGGTAATGTAATTGAAGGTAACATCCCATACGGTCCATCTCCCTCTAAAACACTAAAGTGCACTTTCCTGAATTTGATTTTTTTAAACATTTATGATTCCAGTAAATATATTCACCTCCTGGAGGGGCAGATACTCTGTGCTACAGTTCCATAGGGACTCTTACACTTGTATAGAATTGCATCTTACACAAACATTGTTAAGATTTATTTGCAAAACCTGCTCATTTTTATTCATGGAAAGAAATACAAGAAATATACAGAAATGACATGAAACTATCAACTTGAATTAAGGCTGATTTTTTTTTTAAAAAGCACAAAATTCTTGCAGCCCCATTTATGAGAATTGTTTTTTATTTAAAAAAAACATTTCTCATTGTTCAATTGAAGACCAGTGGCCAGCACAGAGGAACAAACAGAATGTGAAACGCCAATCAATCGCAAGCCGCGAATTTGCCCTTTCAGCAAAGTTTTCTGCAGGAAACCAACAGAAGAAGCTCCTGTTCAGTCAACAAAGGTAATGAAAGAATGTTTTCCAGAGACTTCTGGTGCTAATCAGTGCATCCGCCTGCTGAGCTTTCAATCACTGTTTGCTTCTTATGACAGTAGTGGGATGTACTGCTCAAAGCATCTACACAATATTTTGAAGTCCATTTTAATATGTTCTTTCTTGGTCTTACTCCCCCTCCCTCAATCTGGAATCCATACAGGCAAGAGCTTCTCAAACCAGTCCAGAAGAGGTGCATATCCTGTGTGCTGTCTGTTTATGAATCACTTTACTAACAAACAACCCACTAAAGCACAGCTGAAATTGCTATAAGCTTTGCTAAAAGACTCTTATCAATAGCAATAAGGTTAGTGTGAAAGGTGTCTGACCTGATATAGCAATTCACATTGATACTTTAAAAAAAAGGGACATGGTACGTAAGTCACTATTGCAGACAGCACTGGAAATGAAGAAATAATCTTGCTACTAACCAAGATTGATTTCTGCACGGAGATCATAGCAAATCCAAACATTTGTGGAATCAAAAGTTCAGCACAGGAGGCTGCCATGAGGAAAATAATGTAGCGACATGGTGGTTTGGCTGATAATATACAACACTGCATTAAAATGCCTAGCAAACTACAACACAAAACTATACTAACATTCGTAAAAGTTCTTCAGAACAATTCAGATACATTGACAGAAAGTGATGGAGGAAAACAGAAAATATGAATTGTTCAAAAACATTTATAAAAGCTGTTTTGACCCTCTTCCCCCCAAAAACAGACTAATTTGTTTTTGCATCTACCGTACATGCAGGTTTGTTTAAAGTCAATTCAAATCAGCTGCTTCCCATTTTGATAATTGAATAGAAAATAATAGCTCAACACCATAAGCATTCAGAGAAAGTGGTTCAAACTATGGTTACCTCGATATCCAGTAAGCAGAGGGTCTCTGAACTGGCTCCAAAGTGACCCTTCTTGGCAATGTGTAAGGATGGGTCCCTCCGGGGATCTGCACATTCCATTCCAACAATCTGCCTCTGGGATGTCCGCGTAGAGGTTGGAAACCTCAACTTGGTTTGGATACTTTTAAGCACTGATGGGTTTCCACTTGTGTCAAGACACCCGGCTGACCAAAAAAATCCACTAAGACTCGCACTAAACTACAGCCCCACACAACTGACATCCAAAACCTGCTGCAGTTAATGATAACTGTATTAAACCTCAATGTTAAAGGACATCTCTGCAATTCTACCTATTTCTATTCCCATTGGACCTTATGCTCCAAATTACTTCTTATAAATGGCTATTCATTCTCCACATGAATGGGTCTTTGAACTACCCTGCGCTCAACGGCAAGATGTTTTGCTAGTACTAACTGCACACTTCCCTACTGTTACAGCATGCAATGCAAGTATGAGGAGGAATGCGAGTGAAGCTTAAATCAAACAGGAAAAAGAGTCGAAGATAATGCCAATGAGAGGAAAATAGATGGAAAGAAAAACAAAGTGAAAGGGCAGAAAGAATGAATATGCCAATAAACACAGTAAAAGATAGGGGAAACAAAGAGGTAACACTTTAGCCTTGCTCATACTCCTTGTAACTAGCAACTTACACAGAATTATATAAAATTGTGCAACTGCTGCGAGATGGTCCTACTATAGTTATTCCAAACATATACAACAACAACTTGCATTTATATAGCGCCCTTCACACGGGGCACTGTCTGAGCGCTTAATACAGCAAAATAACATTGCATAAGTGTATACACAACCCTAGAGGGTGGACATTGTGAAGATAAAGGAATAGGTGCAACATTATCCACTCACCAAAGCAGCCTCACACAGTTCACATCAGATTCATGGAAAGAAAATTGCAGTTCTGGGCTCAGCTAAACTGATCTCTTAAAAAGGTAGGTGACCAAAACTTTTTATTATTTTAACACAGGTTACAGTGGGAGTTTTAAACTAGTCCATATTATGATCGTCAAAGCCATCCTTAAACAAATGCTGTCCACTGCTGTTGCTAATCAGTCATTTGTACCAGTGTCCATTCATGAATGGCTCAATCCAGCTATTAAAATCATTCTGAATCAGAAATGTCACAGACTTTTTTAAAAAAAGAACCATAACTTCCTAAACAATCCAATAGAGATGATGCAAAAAGTACAGAAATAAGGGAAGAAATGGGAGTATAACAAATCACTGCCTATAATGAAATGATTACATGGAGTTTTGTGGGATTGCCCATTTGAACAGCACAACTTTCAAAAAGAATCATTCAGAACCAATGTATTAGCGAATCTCAGCGACGAGGTTAGCCTTTGTTTAGTAGCTGCTCGATGTACTATTCCTTTATAAAACTAAAATTTTCCAAAAGGTCTCGAATGCAATTTGTCACAGCTCAATGACTGAGCAACATAATTAACATAAGTGGGTAATAAATCCTCCAAAAAAATAATTTGGTCACTCAGTCCACGACTGTTTGTGGGACTCTGCTGCGGCTGCCGTGTTTCGCCCACAAAATAGTCAATTCACTTTACAGTATATTGTGTGAAGTGCGTTGAGACGTTTCGCAGATGTGATAAGGCTCTATAATAAATGCAAGGATTATTATTAACATTACCATGATGTGCACAAGCTCATTTTAACAGCAGAACACTGGACACAAGTGCACGTTAAAAAGGCTGTTCGTATGGGTCAATGCTACACATATTAGGTCTACAGAGTAATGAGAGAAATTCAGGTGCTACAAGTACTCTCCATTACAGGGAAGGGCAGGACTCTAGATCATGGTATACATTAGAGCACGATACCATGATGTATAAATATTCAAATGTACATAATACATTTCAAGCAGGACCACTGGTCATTTCAACCCTGCCAATACACATGGAAGCAATATCTATATAGGAACTAATTTACTGGGTACCTAGATCACTTTCTATTCTAGTTTGTGCTCTGATAGGACTATGAACATCAGGCTCGTCTTTTCTTGAAACAAACCTGCATTTGTGGCTTCTTCTGGTAAACGTAGTGGATTTCTACTGAATTCTGGAGTAAAGCATACAGACAGACAATGCAGATAAAATCCAGAACAGGAAGGGGAAAATAATCATAAATGAAGTGGAGTCATCTTGGAAGTATCATGAATGTGAACCAATTTCTATTTAGCATAATGGCTGCAATAAAGGGCACAGGAGACCACAGTGTTCTCCGTCAGTGTCTTCTGTTTGCTTCATTGCAAGGGCAACATGCAACAGGTCAAGTGAAGCCTTTATTTCTCCCACAAATAGCACATTCATCTCAAATAATCTGTAGAAACGAGAAACATCGGGAGAAAGTTAGTTGGCAAACAATTGGATGACATAAAATGCAAATTTGCTCACAAAATATACAGTCAATTAACTTTACAGAATACTCTAAAACACTGAGACGTCTTCAAGATGTGATAAAGTGCCAACACCAATTATTCAATCGTTTGAATAATTGGATATACTTACAGCTGAAGCGAACTTAGGCCACAGTATCACTGTCACCTACTTTCCCCTTTTGCTGAAACTGATCCTTTCAGAACTTTGTCCTGAGAAATAAGGAAGAAAAATAGTTTCAGGAGAATGGATATTAACCGAGTGATGGCTCGGTTCCAGAATGAGACTTTTACCAGATTTACAGGCACCTTGGTTATTAATCTCAGACTAAATTGCCACAGTTATTAGTTTCCACCCAGTACATAATTCTAAACTCCCATCTTACATTGTCACGTCTCAGCTGCCCCCAGGGATCAACTAATTTTACTGTGGTACATGAGAAGGAAAATGTCAGTCACATTCAAAACATTTGAACTAAATGACACACCCAATGTAATGTACATGTCACTGTAGTTCCTACATCTCACTGCACCTGAAATCTGGATAAAACTGACTGGTGATCAGTATAAGGCTGGTTGGGATTTTATGTCCCAAACTACCGTAGTATAACAGGACTCTGTTGTATATACAAATATTTTGAAGACTGAGACGCAGTCAAATAAGAAAGTTCCAATGCAGACACACAAACAGGTTTTCAAAACTAGTTTTAAGTAGGCATTGTATTAATACTAGAATCTTCAATATTAGGATTAAAACATATTCTGAGCACTCCCTCAATGCTCTGGTGGTTAAACCTACAGAGCAGGAGGACACAGCATTGATTCCTGGCCCATTGAAATCCCAAATTACTTAACTAAGCAAAACATTAATGAAATGTAAAGTAAACTGCACTTTTGTCTTACCTTGTGTTTTACACATTTCATTGAGAAATTATCTTCATTTAGCAAACATTCTGTAGCAAAAAAACAAATATATGTCAATCAGGATTCCTTCCTTTGTTGTTATATCCCATTAGAACAAACATTCAGGACAGCAACTACAGAGACTCAAATGCAGGTTGAAGGACCACAGACTGGTATAAAGATAAAAGTCACTTCACAGCAAACAAAAGTGTCAATTTTCAGTAGATAAAAAACAATTGTTTAATAATGGATCACAACACCTAACACATCATATATCAGCACAGATTAAATTAACTGCTAAGCACAAGCTTTCATTGCAGGTTCTGTGGGTGTACTTTTAACTATCTTTAAATTCTTCAGTAACTGAAATTAATTTGCCATGTATCTTTCTCCTTCCATCCCACTAATTCACCCAATGAAATAAAAACACAAACAATAAAAAAATCTAGCAATTACTGATTTAGTCACGTTGAATATTCATTAGGCACTTCAAATCAAACCCGAAATTTTGGAATAATTTATTTAATGATCTGTTAAATATGCATATTTTTTATTATTGAGAAAGCTGAGTTATGACCCATTCTTCACTTTTATTTGCCTTACAGTTTCAATTTTTTTGTCCATTTGCAATTGAATTTCACCTCTGATGCCTACATCACACAATCATTGGGGTCTTATTGGAACAAAAAAAGATGAAAGTGACATTAAAATATTACTGAATACAATCAAGAAGCCACTCGGGATTAATACAGATTTAAAGATTTCTTAAATTCAGCACAATAAACCTTCCTTATCGTAACCCATTTAATGATGAACAACAGAAAGATACTCACTACTTTCTACAGCACAGGCATAGTGGTATTTAAGAGGGCAACCTTTAAAATAGCAGCCTAAAGTGGCACCAGTTTTCTGGCATTTGGAGCAGATCTGTTGAAAAAAAGGTCAGCATTAGAATGTTATGAAAGGCTAAAGACATGAAATGACACCTTGTCTTTTCCTGTAAGACTATTGCATTTCAAAACTTAAAACGGTACAGATATCTTTAACACTATGTGAATTTGGAAGCCAGTTTTCTGCAGTTCGTAAAAGACCTGGTTTCCAAATTAAGACTGAAATACGCACCCATCTTACCCAATTCTAGAAAGTCTTAGAAGTAGGTTAGCAAGAGCCAAGGCCTAATGATCCAACAACAAAATTACATTTGTAAAGTGCTTTTCACGTCAGGAGGACCCCAGAGCGTGCATTGGATAGTGCTGGAGATTAAGTAGCTAAAACTGCTTAGCTTGCCATTGTGAATATTGTCTGGGACCAGTTCGGACTGCCCAACCTGTTAGACCTTAGGCTTGCAGGAGTATTAGGAGCCAAGTGGGAATTATGGCTGTAATGATAGTCAACCTCTCCAGGTCCTGCCATCGAGCGAGGTCGGTCTATTATAAACAGTTGCTTGGGAATAACACACCCATCAAGCTCAGGAACCAACAACCAAGATGGGCGCATGATTCTGTTAGTTAGTATTCCTTTATCAGGCACATCATCTTGGAACTACCTAAACTGCAAAGAGACCTTGGGTAGCCCTCTCCACCCTCCCCGATCGGGATAGTCACTGATTGGATATTAAATCCACAAATATGCCTGGAAATACACAATCACAATACTCTAAGATCAGATAAATTGCTTTGAGACATTGACGTAGTGGCGGGTGCCCTTAATGGGAGGCAGCTGGGTGGCCTAAATTAGTTCCAGGCTGCCACAACAAGCTACCAGGCAATGAAAGGAGAAATTAAACCAGAATCCACACAATTGTGACGTTCGGAGCGGAAACTGTCCTAGTTAGTTATTCAATTATTACTGGGTGCTAAAAATCATACTGCACAAACTTATTAACATGTCAACTGTTTAAGACAACTGTTAAATGATAAATACTGTAGGATTCAAAATTTAACACACATTCTGAAGGACAGCTGTGGGTCCAACCTGACACCTAGGTTACGCACCGGTTTGGTGAGTCTGAGGAAGGCCTTGAGACAGATCTTGAAGGAGGCGAGGGAAAGGGCAAAGCAAACAACTCTGGGATGGAGTTCCAGAGAGTGGGGGAAGATGGTCTGAAAGCTCGTCACTGATGGTGGGGTGGGCAAGGTGGGGGACATGGAGTAGGCCAGTGGGTGCTGAGCTGGAGGCGTGGGTGGGTTAGTAGGGTTTAAGAGGAGGGTGGGTCAAGACCTTGGGGGGGGATTTAAAAGTGAAGATGAGGACCTTGAATTCAATCCTCTGTGGATAGGAGCCAGAGGGCAAGGATGAGGGCAATGGGTTCACAGAGCCTAGTATGGGAGAGGACACAAGCTGCAGTTTTGGATGGTCTATAGCTTGTGGAGAGAAGAGTTGGGAAATTGGACAAGCAGAGTTGGCGTAGGTTAGTGGAGTGAGAAAAGCATGGATAAAGGTGTTGGGACCCAAGCGGAGAGGTAGTGGTGGAGGAAGGTAATGTGGAGGTGGGGAAAACTGAACGGATCAGAGCATGGATATTGGGTTTAAAGGACAGTTAAGTGTCGAACAAGACAGGAACTGAAGGAATAAGGAACAGAGAATATAGAATAATATCTCAGATACAGTACTGTTAACCTCAGAACTGCTAACAGTGAAAATAAATTTGAGCTCTGTATTAAATGGAGTTAAGCCATGATCTGCCCAAGTTTAATTACAATGACGTAAAAATGAATACAGTCAAGCTTTATTATGACAATCTCACGGGGATTAGGAAAGCTGTTGCTCCGATTAGGCATTCATCACATCATAGTTTGAGCTCTTCTACTGACTACAATAGAATTTCTACTGGGACTGTAACTGTTCAAAGAGACTTGAAACAAGAGATTGTGACAACATGGTTCCACACTAATTCAACTAAAAAGCAGCAAGCACAGAGCGCCTTATCCCTGTGTGATTCGAGAGTTAGGGATCAGGCAATCAGAAACTACAAAAGTGCAGCTGCACTTCCCCTGCAATGGCTAGACTCCAAAATGACAAGATGATTACCATATTTACTTGAACGAAGGCACCTAAGAATGTAAGGCACAGGCAGATTTCAGGGACATGGGGGAAGAGGAACATCATTCCAATTTTAAGACGCCATTGATTCCAAAGAGCATCCTGATTTAAGGAAAATTTATGAAAAACTTTCCACTTAGGAGTTAATATCAATTAAATTCTAGTTTGTTTATTGAAGAAAACGGGAACCTGCCTGTTCTATATTTTAGGTATTTTTCTCACTGAAGCCCCAACACACTGCACCACAGAATAAGAGCACGTGAGAATGTAGCTGCACTTCTTCATTGAATTCCTGACTCCACTACTTTAAGTTGAGGCCATTAGAAATACTGAAAGGGACATCTCAAAGTCTATTTGTGAGCATTCTACAGCACTGCTTAATGGCCTGAGTGGGAGAGGGAGAATATATTTTAAGATGGAATCCCAGCTTTAGCAAAAAGTCACTGTCTATGAGGGCAGACAGGTTTGCCTACAAAATACAGACACTACACTTTACAGTAAAAAAATTGTGAGGTGTATTGAGAAGTCCTCCCAACATGAATGACGGAATATAAAATGAAAATATTATTATTATTATAAAAAAAAAACCACATAAAGTGTACAAGTGGAGCCTCGGTAGACTTGCATTTTTTTCCTTCAGGAAGCTTTGTTCCTCCTAAGGTGTGTGATCCCTTGACAATTATATTGTTTTCACTGCATTTCATTTAAATTTATCACACAATATATGAGGCAAAATTGACTATACTTACCAGGGCTCCGTGTGGGCCCTAATAAAAAGCAGTTGATTTAATTATGCAAAGCTGAATGTAGTGCACCACTTTTGAAATATTTCAAGGCAGTATTTAAAGAGAGAATAGCTTTCTACACAAGGCCAGCTTTTGAATGTTTTGATATTTGTACCGTTACCACCACTACCATCATGAGTAATCAAAGGTCAAGGATTAATACAAGTCTCAAAATATCCAATAAAAAAGTGAATACAGTTGCACAATGATAATTTCTCCCACCCCCACCCCACTTACCGTCTCTCGTGCTAGATTGACAGCTTCCAGCAAACCATACAACTTTCCTCTCACAAGAAAAACACCAGCACACCATGTCACACAGTCTTCATGCATCCAGTGCTCATTAGTATCCATTGGGACCAAAGGCGGCTGGTACCAATCTTCCAAAGAGAGCTCATTGTTAGGCTTCTTAATATCTGGACCCTTTGCAGCCTCTTCAATACTATCACAACTTTTTCGCTTCTGTCCTCGAGTTATTGTTCCCTCCCTTGTACTAGATTCCTGATTTTCTCCCAAAGTTGTATTTACTGCATTCTGAGGGGAACTACAACTAGAACTCAAGGTATTGCTATTTGCTTGATCTACATTAATTTTTGCCTTTGTCCGGGAATTTTGGACATTCGGAGGGGTGTACCCGAAAGGATAAAACGGTCCAAAAAGATCACCTAATTCCATAGCATTTGCAGAATGGCCACATAGACAGCAGATGAGAAAGCTTTTTTGGTGAGTGTCATTAATAGTAGGGCCCAATAACAAGCAAGATGTTTTGGGAACTGAACCATGAGATTGGTGTTGGGAATGTTTCTTTTGCTTAAGGTTGTTGTTATCCTCCTCAAGATAGTTTACTACAGTACACACTGAATAATCTTTAACCTCTAGTCTTACATAAGGTGAAAAACTATCGTATCGGCCATCCCGTCTTTCATCGTTTTTCTGAGTCAATGCTCTTAACCTTATTTCAGGCTCGTCAGGAGCAAACATTGTCAAGTGTAGTCCCTGCTGCCTATTTCGCTTCCGATTTGCTGACTTGCATGGTCTCTTTCTCCCAGCACCTCTTCTCCTTGGTTGGGAGGTTTTCTGCTGTGATAGTGCACCAGCCTTCCTGGAGCATTGTCTGGAGTTACTTCCGTTACCATTTAAACACTTAACATCAGAGTCACCAAGCTTTTGTTTATTGCCTGAAGCGGGTCCCTCTCGGGAAGTCTCGTTTGATCGTTTCGAAGACGAAGCAGGGCAGGAGGATGTGCCGGGGGAATTTGGAGCGCTTAGTTTTGTTGCGTGTTCTTGTCGAGAGCCTGGAGTTGAGGTAGATGTGTTTTTGTTCTGTTTTTCTGCAGCTGCTGCATCTGCTTGCCATAAGCGTGCTTCATTCTGCCCTTGCAATGAACACTCTAAAGCAAGGTTTTTCTTGAGGGAAACCACCAAGTTATGAGAAATCCCAGTATCGCCATTCGCCCTTTGTTTTGCGGCAGAGCTGGATTTTCGCCTTGGTGGCTGAAACCTAGTAGGAGTAGGAGGTATATTCCGGCTTTTTCGGTGTCGCTCCCCAATATTACCAGACACTCTAGACTTCGGTTGTGTAATAATATTTTGGACAATCTGCTCCAATCTCATTCCTCTTCTCTGTCTTGCTGGAAGAATCTTCCTTTCGAAAACCTTTCGATTAGCATTGCCATCCTTCTTCTCTTTAGAATTTTGATTTAAATGCTGTTGGCAAGTTGCCCTTCGTTTTTTATTACTTGACGTTGCAGTCGAACTTTGATCCTGACGTGTGTCTGCTTTGGAGACAGGTGGACTAACATCATCCTCTTCAATATCAGAGATGTAGATGACTTCTTCGTCCTCATATTTAGTTACCAAGGTCTGCTTTCTCCTGCTGGGACGATGAGACCCTGCTGGGACTGGCGAGTTTTCACATTCATCACCACCACTAGAGCTTTGGCTACCCTTCTCATCACACACCTCATCGAGCTCGCCTTCCTCTACACAGCCAGCAGTTTCTCTTGACTTGGCTACGGAAAGGCTCATTGAAATGCTGCATGACATTGGTGTAACATCATTTGTCTTCAGATCAATGACATATCCTCGCACATCACACTTCCCATCAGTTTCAATAACATTTAGTTTATGCAACTTGAGAGAACAAGGCTGAACCCTAGGCAGGTTATTCTCAGGGCTCTGTAATGAAGGAACAGTTACCCTGCTGAATGAAGTTGAACTTCTGCTACTTTCGCATACACTGTTATTTACTTGCATTGAATCAGGAATTTCATTCACATTCGGTTTGACTACAGAAAGAGCATTGTTTTCATCCACAGTAGAACACTGTTGATTTGATTCCCAGCAGCTATTCTCACTACACAGAGAATGTTCAGTTATTTTCATATTTGGTTTAAGATTTGCATTAGGTTCAAAAATATTACTTTCTATTGAATTGTACCTGACCTGATCTGCATTGCTATTTTCGGTGCTTGTGGCATCATTCCCTGAACAAGGCATCTCTCCATACATTAGGTCAGATGTTAAAGCTGCTTCATGGTCATGTGATTGCTCTCCAGTTTGTGTAACCTGCTGTGATAAACTCTTAGTTTTTTGCATATTTTGAAGAACAGCAATGTTTGAAAATATTCTACTCTTTGCTGAACTATTCAGTATTTTGTGAGCCGTCTCTGCATTTGGTACTAGTCTACATTTTGATGACATGTTGGTTCCAGCACTATTTTTGCACACCCTCTGGTAACCATCTATACTTAAACTATGTGATTGTTGCGTATAATTTGAAGAATTTGTATTTACACAGCGAGTTAATAAAATATTTTGTTCCCCTTCTGCCGAACCTTCTGGCCAAGTTTTATCAAGAGTGACCTTGTCTCGGTTTTTCTCTGACTCAGCGAGTCCTGTTTCCTCTGAAAACTCAACTTCATTTTCTGTTCTCATGGCTGCCTGATCTTTGTAATTCTTGCTCAAGTCGAAGCTATGTACAGACTGAAGTTTTCTCTCTGCATACTGCTTATTTAAACACTTCACTTCAGTGAAGATGCTTGTACCATTTCTTGTTTCACAATGTTCCACCCTGCCCAGCAGGTTTCTGTTGCCGTGTTGTTCTGTGTTGTTCGCTCTGCTCTCTGGGACCAAAGACCCAGTCAGTTTTCTTACAAATACTCCAGGGATTTGAACCACCGTTTCAGCAGGACTGACAATATTATCCCCCTCATCTGTGTGATTAATTGCTCGAGAAAACTGACAGACCAAGTCCTGGGCTTCCATGTTGCACGAATCCCCATGCAAAATTTCCTCAGCTGTGTCTAACGCATGTTCAAGTGATCCACCACATGATCCAGATCCATAGACAGTAGCAGCAGCTAATGGTGAATTGAAATCCAACTCCGTCACTAAGTGCTGGTTCATAGTGCTACATTCTATTTCATTTCCAAGGCCTCTTTTAATAGTTTCCAGATCACCAGATTGTGCCAACACAGAGTGTTCATATGATGGATGAACAAAATCAGTAGGTATGGATGGCTCAAATGGAGCTGGCAGCATCTGCTGTGATTGCACACAAACAGATGGAATAAAGAGTGAAGGCAGTTGTTGCTCGCGCAAGGAATGTCGCATTGTCCGCTGGGAAGGAAATATATGGGATTGGTTGACATAGTTGATGGTGGTACTTGAGATCGCATCATCCCCGTGCATCTGGTCAGTGTGAGATACGGAAAATGCCAAATTGGTCTCCAAATCACTAGGTGCGTTTTTTGTGCATATGTTATATTCAGAATCTGTGGTCCCACTGGGTGATAGTTCAAACGACGTATTTGCCTGTATTCTTCCTCTTTGTTTTCTTGCACAATCAACAGAATAATCCACGGGGATGTCAAAATTAACTAAGTTGTCTTTTTGGTTATGTAACCCATCAGCTTGATCCTGTCCTGTCTCCATTCCAGGAATTTAGCTGCTTCACCTGTTCTGGGGAAAGAAACAAAGCCTTTTAAAAAACACAGAGCAGCACCCATATTACATTTTGCTTGTAAAATGTTAGAAAATATAGTAAATATAGAAAATTTAATAACATTGTCTAAACACCGTATGCTCAGCTTTGCCTACAAAATATACAGTCAATTCAATTTACGGTATATTCTGTGAAGCGCTTTGAGATGTCTCGATGTGATAAGGTGCTATATCAAATGCAAGGAAAATTATTATTGTATTATTGTTATTATCTATACCCGTCTTCTGTACCTTTAAGGGAAATAATGGAGTTTAAGAAGAACTTTCACGCAGAGTTCTATGAGAACGTGAAACTCAATTCTGGAAGCTGTAATTGAAGTAAAAAGCATCAGCCTATTTAAGTGAAATAATGTATACATGAAACAGAAGAGATAGAGGAGAACAGAAAGGGTGGCGGCTCATGTGGAATATGAACCCAGTGCAGACTATGTAATAATAAAGTATTGAATAATGAAGTAATAATCATTGCACTTTGATATGTCTGTAACACCAAGAACATTTTAAAGGCTTCACAAAGTTTCTGTAAAAGACAGAATTTGTAGGTGAACCCAATAACTAATTTGTATACCACACACAGACATAAAGTTAATAGTCAATTTTATCTGGAAGAGTGTTGGTTAGGTCACTGGGAGAAACTCCCTTCTCTTTTTGAGTAGTGCCACAGGATCTTTGGCATCCACCTGAACCGACAGACGGGCCTCAGTTTAACAATTCACACCATGAACATCCCAGCTGACAATGCAGTGCTGCCCAATGTATTATCAGACTAGACAATGAAAAAATAAAATAAGACGTGGAAAAATTCAGCAGGGAAGATCGAGTAGGCTTATTGCAGTGTGTCCTTTATGCAAGATTTTAGTTTTAATTTTAAAAAGTCGACTTCTTTTGGCTTTTGTGCAAGAATTCGATCTGGAATATAGAAACTGATTTACAAGCAATGCATACTGCATTATGCAACATTAAGAATAAAAATCAGACTCAAACACAAGCTACTCTATTCCATATTCCTTGCTAGTGTGATTATTTTTATTTGACATGAAAAGGACAATAACAAATCACTGCCATCAAATTTATACTTTACCTGAAAGCATATTTTGCTATAAAATGAAGTATTTTACAGCAAACAATACCTTAACTGCAGATTCTTAATACAATCTTTAACACTCTTAGTACTTGGCAGCTTTTGTCGCCTTACACTGCAACCTCATACTCGACCATAACCTGCAGACAAAGGCTGTCTATGAAACAGGCATAAAATCAGCACCGTTCTTACTAAAAGTTTAAATATCACAATAAAATAACAGAGATTAATAGTTAAATAGCAAAGCTGGGAAAAAAATTCAGACCGGTGTAGTGTTATCCTTTGTCCTTATTGAGGAGCTTTATAAAGACACAAAGACCGTGTCTCCATGCACAGTCTCATTCATTTCTACTAATTCCCATAGCGCAGAGAAGAGCTGCATTCTAAGTGGATGAAGCAAAGCACCACACGTGACCTCAGACCAGACATGTAGCACATGTATAGCATAGCACTGAGAGCAGGATGTGAACCTGCATTTGTAGATAAGGAACTTGGTGTGGTGCAAAGGAGGTGCCTTGTGGGTAGAGAAGAATGTGTTCAGAATTTTGATCTAGTTTGCATTTTACTTTGTTCAACAGGCAAAGCAAAATGTCTGGAATCAGACCTTCTGCTTTTAAAGCTTTATTATACATAAAATCCTACTGGGGCGAGTGAGGTAAGTGGAATCTCCTGTCTCCAAGATTACATGCTCAGCAACAGAATGTCAGAATCGAGTCAACCCTCTGTTGCAATCTCGGTAGTCCAGTTGCTCAGCCCGGTGGGTCCGCAGTATTCCAGGTCACTGCTGATGACAGCCCAGCCCAGTCTGTCTCATTTTGGACCATTAGTTTGGGGCAGGGATTCTTCCCACCCAGCCCGAAGTGTGATGCTGAAAGCCACAGTCTATTTCACCCAGAGGGCTTGCGTTAAGCCCACACTTTTGGTTCTCACTTGTAATAAAATGGGTGCAGTGTGAGCCCGGCTGAGAATGCAAAGTGTCTGTCATTTTGGCACTTATTTAGCAGCCACGGGGACAGACAAACGGGGATATAGGTAAGAGTTGCTGAGGCAATATAGAGTAAGCTTGAGATATGGAAATCAGATGTGCTACACCTGTGTTGACACTGGATAACAAAGGTATAAAGGTTTTGTCTCCATTAACGACCTGTTTAAGTAGACACTGGTCTACTAAGGAGACTGAAGTGCAGTAAAATCCTTGGAAAGTGTGCCAATGCGTATGCAAAGCTACCTTGAAGAAACATTTGAAATGACAGAAAAACAACCCAAAATGGATGCAATGATGTATGTAATCTTCGCACAAGTCCACTGAAATCCCCTTTTACCTTCTTAAACAAACATCTATATTGTTGGTGTCACCGGAACTGAAATGGAAATATTTGTGTAAACTATTCTTTTTTTTCTTTTTTTAAAAAAAAGCTGTTTGTAAACAAAGTATCAGATATGCGCTGTCTGAACCTCATGAGTTTTAAATGTTTGAAAAGTAATTTTGTATTTGCTTATTTTTGTAATCTCTACTGAAATGGGTGCAATGGGCAGCACAAGTTCTGTTGTTATAACTGAGGGGGAGAAGAATATTGGACTCTTGATACATTGCACAGTATTCCATAAATGTAAACGGTGTCGGAGAGAAACATGGTTGACTGTATAATGGTGTTTGCTCAGCCATTTGAAGTTTGAGCGGAAAGTAATGCTATACCTGTCTCCGGGAACTGTAGCTGTATTAGCAGATCATGGTATTAAAATGTAACTTTTGCACCTTCGAATCATTGCTTTTTTATTGCCGTAACCCGACGAAGTGTTGGTTTGCAAAGAGCAAAGTCGAAAATGTAATCTGCGCTCTCGATAATGGTGCGGTTGGTAAGAACAATACATACTTCAGTGTGAAAATAGCCATACAGACGAGGAGGGTACCAGGGCCGATTGTGGCCAAAAAAAAAAAGAACGCAGCCTTTGGTTGAGATCAGTTATGGACCAAGAGTGGAAACTGGTACCTTTCCGATCTCCGGCCGGCAGTGCAGTGCAGTGCAGTACAGTATTGCCAACTCGGCCGCAAGACAGGCGGACCGAGGAGGCCTTTCCGATCCATTTGTTCGTATCCTTCAAACCTGTTCGATAGGCTCTGCAACTGGTTCTCCCCCCACCCCCCACCACCAACAACAACAACAACAACAAGACTCCATTTATAGAGCGCCTTTCACGTCGGGAGGACGTCCCGAGGCGCTGACACCACGCAAACACACACACGTCAGCCACCCCCCCCCCCAAAAAAAAAATCCCAACCATAACAATAACCCTTGCGTTCGATACAGCGCCTTATCACGTCTTTAAAGCGCTTCACAAAATAGACTGTAAAAGTCCAATTGATTACTATTTTGTGAGCCGAAGGTGGCGGCCAATGGTGGACAGCAGTGTCCGTCCAGCGAACGGCAGGGGCTCGAGCGACCCAATTTATTATTATTATTATTATTATTTTTTTTGGGGGGCGGGAAGAGAGAGAAGACGAGCGTCATCTTTCTGGGCCAGTTTTAGATTTATTGGGAAATAGGATTTATTGGAATAAAGAGAGACAGAAACCCCTCTCACACACACACACACACAGTGGGGGCGGAACCTGAGGTCAGAGCCGGTGCAGCACCCGGAAACTTTGGCGCCGGACCGGAAACTCGTGACCCAACTGGGCTGAGTGCGGTGAATTCCAACAGAGGAGAGGCCGGGACTCTGGCGGCCGGGACCCGGGGGGTGTGGAGCCGAGACACAGGGCCAGGCGGCCGCCGGGGAGAAGAGAGAGAGAGCGGGAGAGGCCGGGGACAGGCAGGCTGTGGTTCGGTTGCGTCCCGAAGTTTCGGTGGGGTCGGCCGATACGTCGCGTGAGTATCGACCGCTCCACCTTCCTCTTCCTCACCTCCCCCCCCCCCCCCCCCCCCACCTCTCACACACTCACACCTCTCCACCTCACTCCACCCTCTCCTCTCTCCCTCCCCTCCCCTCCTCCTCCTCTCCACCCTCCCCCTACCTCTCCTCTCTCTCCTCACCTCTCACCTCTCTCCTCCTCGCCTCCTCTCCTCTCTCTCCTGACCTCTCCACCTCTCTCCTCCTCGCCTCTCCTCTCTCCTCCTGACCTCTCCACCTCTCTCCTCCTCGCCTCTCCCCTCCTGACCTCTCCACCTCTCTCCTCCTCGCCTCTCCTCTCTCCTCTCCCACTCGGTGCAGCAAAATCTAACCCAACAAACCAAACCCGTCTTCCTGCAAATAATAAAAGCCGCCGGCGGCCAGACTGTGCTGTGCTCTTCTCCTCTCACCTCTCTTTCTTTCTTTCTTTCCTTCTTTCTTTCCTTCTTTCTTTCCTTCCTTCTCTCTCTCTCTCTCTCTTCCTCACACACACACTCGCACACACACACCTCTCGACGCACTTTGTTTTGGGGGGACTCCCAACCGCCGGCGCGGTGACGCGGCGACTCGCTGACTCACGCCTCGCCTCGCTCACTCCAGTCCCAGGCTGTTTAGGCCGCAAACGGGGCCTCGCGGTGACTGGAGACAAAGGAGGGCGGGAGGGAGGGAGGGAGACGGGGGGGGGGGGAGGGGAGGAGGAGGGGCAGAGGCCGAGGCCGGAGCTGACACGATTGGATATTCGATAAGAATTTTTATTTTCTTTCTATGTGTGTATATATATATATCACATATCATACGAAGAGACGAGATTTTTTTTATCACAACACAACTGTAAGGTATAAAAGTTTTACCTGAGGGCCGAGGGCGGGTCGTGCGTGTGCGTGTGTGTGTGTGAAGGGGAGCGAGAGGGCGGGCGTCGGGGCTGCCAGTCAGGCCGCCGTCTCCATGGCGACGGCTCTTCCACCAACTGCCGCCGCCGCCTCCTCGTCGTCGTTGTTGTTGTGCTGCCGCTGGTGGCGGCGATGGGGCCGTGACGTCACCGGCTTTTCACGCGCCCGCCCCTCGCGACCTGCGGCGCGCGGCGCGTTGGGGCGGGCGGGCGGGCGGTTGGGCGGTTGGGCGGGTTTGGTGAGAGGAGGAGGAGGGGGAGGAGGTGGAGCGGCGGTCAGGTCCGGGGGCGGGTTTCACGCCCAGTTGGGCGGGTCTGTCTGTCTGTCTGTGTGTGTGTGTGTGTGTGTGTGAAGTAAACGGCCTCCCGCCCCCTCCCCCCTCTCCCCGTCCGTCCGTCCGTCCGCGGTGACAGTCCGGTCGGCGCGTGGGCGAAGGGAAAGGTCCCGCGGACGAGGGAAGGATCGGACGTCCGACCGTGCGGCCCCCGAGGCCTCCCTCCCGCCAGCGCCATGAGGACCCCCCGGGCTGCCCGCGCGCTCCTGACCGGGGTTTACCTCAGGGGCATCGGCCTCCACAGGCGGCCCCTTCCCGGTGAGGAACCGACTGCACTGCAACCCGAGCCCCGGGGAGCGGCCATTAATACTCAGCGTCAGTATTAATGCTCACAGTAATATACACCAACATTACTGCTCACAGTAATATACACCAACATTAGTGCTCACATTAATATACACCAACATTAGTGCTCACATTAATATACACCAACATTAGTGCTCACAGTAATATACACCAACATTAGTGCTCACAGTAATATACACCAACATTAGTGCTCACAGTAATATACACCAACATTAGTGCTCACAGTAATATACACCAACATTAGTGCTCACAGTAATATACACCAACATTAGTGCTCACAGTAATATACACCCATTAGTGCTCACAGTAATATACACCAACATTAGTGCTCACAGTAATATACACCAACATTAGTGCTCACAGTAATATACACCAACATTAGTGCTCACAGTAATATACACCAACATTAGTGCTCACAGTAATATACACCAACATTAGTGCTCACAGTAATATACACCAACATTAATACTCACAGTATTATTCACCTCATCGTTCCAGACGAAGGTACAGGTTTTGCTCAAATTAACTTCGGGGCCTTTGGAAGTATCTTCTTAAAATTCTAAAACGATAAACCTCCGAAACGTTAATTCCACCTCCGCACACATTGCTATTACTGACACTGACCGGAAAACGGTGATCGTCGGCCCCGGTAAGTATTGTACGTACAACGTTCCCAAATTGCCCGTCGTTTGTTGCGATAATGCCGTTCTCTCACTTTAGGAGTCCAGGGGTTTTCTTCGTCGTCGGATTGCGATCTCCAGGTGTGCGTTGTTGGCAGTGGTCCTGCGGGCTTCTACGCTGCACAACATGTTCTCAAGGTAACGTTATATAAGACTGGGTAATCCTTCTCTCCGACACAGCGCCTCATCACGTCTCCTCGACGTCTCAAAAGCGCTTCGCAGAATACGCTGTTTCAAGCGAATTGACTGTATATTTGTGAGCGAAACGCGGCGGCGTCTGTCCCACAAACAGCCGTGGATTGAAGTGACCCGATTTATTATTGGGTTTATTATTATTATTATTGGGTTTTTTTTCTTGAGGGATTATTATCAGGCGGGTGGAGCGAGGAAACTTGCCCAAGGTTTCGCCCGGATCTGCCGGGAATCGAACCCGGGTCACTTGGCTTGTGAGGCGAGTGCTCTAACCACTGAGCTACAGAAATGAACCACACATATACTTTTAGACTGATTGTAACACCCGATTATTTATAGCGTGAACTTTTTATTGATTTCACAAATATCGTGAACATACAGAAGTGCGCACACGGGGGGAGAAGGGTGCAGAGGGAAATGGGAGAAGGGAGTGGATAGGGTGGAGTAAAAACAACTGCATGGAGTAGTTGGGCCAAGTGGCTTCTTTTCATGTAGTAACCGTCTTTGTAATTCTATGAAAGTAGAGTGACCGTATAACTGATGACCTCTAGTTTTACATTGGGGTTGAAAATGTTGCACATTAATATAATTGCATTTGATAGAAGTTATGAAAGAAACAAATGTGTGTAGCACTCACCTTGCTGAAATTAATTTGAAATACATTTATAATCAGCTTGTATCAAATTATTAATTGTTTCTATAAATGGAAAAGAACCCCCTTCAGTTCCCCAAATACTGTATGTTAATTTTCTCCTTCCATCTGCAGTCTGTTTTGGAACTTGTGATTTTTCAGCACAGGATACTTCAAATACATTTCTAACTTGCGTTTGTTCCTCTGCGACAGCTTCAGAAATCTGCCATTGTTGATATCTATGAGAAACTACCAGTCCCCTTTGGCCTCGTAAGATTTGGTGTTGCTCCTGACCATCCAGAAGTGAAGGTTAGCACAATCTATTGCCAACAGCTTACAACTTTTCGGAGACACGAATTGGAGAATGTAATGTTTTCAAACGTAATAATCCTTTCAGTTTCATATTTGATATAGTGCTTGATCACGTCTTCGAGAAGTTACAAAAAGTGCTGCTGTCTGAGGAAAATTAGCCTAATTAGGAGTATTTGAACTTGGTTTCTATGAAAGGGTATTATTTGCACTGTTAGATTAAATTAACATCTCTCTGCTCCACCATCTGGCTATCTTGTTACCTTGGAAGAGTTTGCATCACTTTTGTTCTTTGCCTTGAACAACCTCCAATCTGATGCTGAAAATGATTGCTTATACATGAAATGCTCAGTCAATGTCAACCACAAGGTTTTACGCAGCACTTTGGAGAAATGTTGCCTTGACCAATAACATTTCCAATGAAAAGCAAATATAAGTAATCTTCACTCCCAAGGACGCATGGTGCGAAAAGTGGAATTGATTTATAATATAAAGACATCTCAAAGCGCTTCACGGGATATACTGTCAAGTGAATTTGCTATTTTGAGTGGTAATAATAATAGTACTGGTATAAGATTTCGCCCACAAAATATACAGTTAATTCACTTTACAACATATTCTGTGAAATCACTTTGAGACATCTCGCGGGCATGATAAGGCACTATATCAAATGCAACATGATTATTATTATTTATTATAAGATTTTAAAAAATGTAGAGGAATGATCCACTATCACACACTATCAGTCTCTGTTTCATAAAATCGTACTGCAATGCAATGACTTATTGCCAATAGTTTCCAACATTAACATGAAGGTTTTTCATCCACAGAATGTTATCAACTCATTCACCCAGACAATGCACCATGGTCGCTGCTCGTTTTATGGGAATATCACTGTTGGGAAGGATATTAGTGTGGAAGAGCTCAAACAAGCATACCATGTAGTGATACTGGTAAGAAATATTGGCAGCAAATAAAATACTATAACTTTCTCAAGTATGGTGACTTCTACATATCCAGCATGTTTGTTTATAAAGTTACATTTGCCAAACTAACTCAGCCAGTTGCAATATTTTACCAACAAAGAAAAACATTGAAGTGAAATTATTAGATTCTCAAGAGAGGGTTTTCATTCTGTTTAAATTTTTTTTGCTGCAAAATCCGGTCAGTGATGCATTGGAATTAAACTTAAACATTTATCCAACACTTACGGAAAAGGATGGAGGGGGTGGGGGGAATTTAGTAAACTCTCTAGGATGGTTAGAACGTTCAGTTGAATCTGTTAAAATATTAAATTATGTCCGCTTTTTTACTATAAACTTATGTATTCTTGATGCATTCTGAGCTTACAAATCTCAGTTAAACGTGAAATTGTTCTTAATGCTCAAGTATAGGATCTGATTTCCCACCTCCCTCCTCGGTCAGGCTTCCACTCGGGCTTTGTAAAGCACTTTGAGATGTTCTTCCTGTGTGAAAGTTAAATTGTTTTTGTTGCATTTTAGGCCTATGGAGCACAGGATAATCTGATGCTTGAGATTCCTGGGGAGTCCCTGCATGGCGTCTATTCTGCACGATCGATTGTAGAGTGGTACAATGGTGTACCTGGAATTCAAAATGTAAGTGATCTAAAACCTTCACATCTTTTAATCAGACGCCATAATTGATATCTAGTTAAATTGTTGTTCAGGACTGCAGATGACGGAGTGATCTTGGAGCGTGGCTACGTTAAATCACATCATCGAAATCTTAAGTGTGTAGTTCAAGCCTTACTTTAATTGCAGACTTCTTCAAACATCCATTTTGGAAACAATCTGTCAGAATTCTGTACGCAATTGTCTGCTATGTTTCACCCACAAAATACACAGTCACTAAATTTGACAGTGTATCATGTGAAGCGCTTTGAGACGTCTCAACTACGGAATAAGGCGCTATATCAAACGCAAGGATTATTATTAAATATATAGCTACTTTTCAGATGCCAGAGAGGAGGATGGAATTCCAAAGGAGCTGGAATTTCTCACCAAATCTTAGTATGGAGTATCCTGCAGTCCCTCTGCCTCTCCCCTCCCTTGACTCCTTCAAGACCCATCTCAAAACCCTCCTCTTCGACATTGCTTTCGATCTCTCTGCTTCACTCACTGCCCTCCACGTTGCCCGACCCCGACTCCCAGCTCGGGTCCGAACTCTGTCTGTCCAGTGCCTTGGAACGTCCTCCCGACGTGAAAGGTGCTTTACAAATGTATTTTTGTTGTTGTTTAAAAGGAGTTGGCTCGTTTGCAATGGTTTCAAGGGGCATCTTTTAGATCTATTGTTTGATGGTGATGGTGGAGATGGCGAAGGTTATGAGATAAGGAGAGATGGTTTTTGAAAATCGAATCAGCCAGAGGGGCAGGAGTATTCTTTGGTTCAGTAAGTTCCTGGGATAATTTACTATTGGTACCTCTTTTGTAGCTGAACCCGGACCTGAGTTGTGAGACAGCAGTTATCTTGGGACAAGGAAATGTGGCCCTGGACGTTGCCAGGATTCTCATTTCTCCTATTGACTTGCTTAAGGTACGTCCTGTCTTGTGGTTATCCCGACTGAGGCAAGGTTCATATTGGTTTATCTTTTTATTCTTTGTGTAATTTGTGTTCAAAGCATCATACCGTTTCTTATAAGAAGAAAATATTAAAAGTCTTCAGTTATATTCTCAATAGGTAGAAAAGAATGTCAATATTTTACCTTTAAATATGTCTTTTGAATCATCTCTACTCAGCTGCCTCTTAGGTGGAAAAGTTTTATATATTTTTTAACTCAGACTATTGTTAAATCAGCCCCTTTCCCCAATATTACAGTGGTAAAGCTAATCAAATATTAGGATGGACTTACTGTAAAATTAATTCTAAGCTACTAAAAATGCCATGAGAGATAAATGAAAACTTCCATTCGTGTCGCATTCTCCACAACAATTTTATAGGAAAATTTAACTTCAGAATATTTTAATGAAGGTAACCTGACTGAGTACATCTTTCTTATCAGAAAACTGATATTACATCATATTCTCTGGAGGCAATCGCTGCTAGTAAAGTGAAGAGGGTCCTGATTGTTGGAAGAAGAGGACCCTTACAAGTCGCCTTTACCATTAAGGTATTGTATTAACTGCTCGATTGTACTGGATTGAGACGAGATTAAGTTAATTGATTCTGCTTTCGCTTTGATTTTAAAGTGCGCTCTGGTTAGGACAGACAAAGTTTGCATTATAAGATTTAGTACTTGTAATGTTGCAAATAATTCTCAGCATTACAGAATTGAGTCGCTCTCGTCTGTTATCCACTTTGGTGGCTCACTGGTCTCTGCATCACTATGTACAGTTGCAAATGGTGTAAGATTTATTGACAATAAATGCAGGCTTTAGAAATATCCCTCATCAAAAATCTTAAGAAATATTCAGTATCATTCTTTTCGTGTTGCCATAAATGATGAATTCTCTCGTAGATAATCTACGAGATAATCTGTTAATCTACAAAATAGTCACTGCAGTTTACAGTTAAATCTGCCAGAGTGAATGGTGCTGCATCAGATGCTAGGATTTTTATAATTTTAATCAATTTAATTTAATTTATATTGAAGATTTATAACTCATTATTCCTCTCTTAGGAGCTGCGTGAGATGGTGAATTTGCCTGGTGCTCGACCATTGTTCAACCCCAGTGATTTTGAGGGTCTTAGGGAAATCATCAAAGGTGAGATTACAACATCTTTACTTGCAACTACTTTGAGGCATGCTGCACGACATGCTTTAACATGAAAAAATCAGATCCAATTTAATTTTGGAATAGACTTATATAGACTTAAAGCCTGATCTGAATAGATCTATAAAAGAATAGTTTATATTATAGAATCATAGAATTTTACAGCACAGAGGGAGGCCATTCGGCCCATTGTGCCTGTGCCGGCTCTTTAAAAGAGCCACCAATCAGTCCCACTTCCTCGCTCTTACCCCAAAACCCTGCAAATGTTTCGTTTTTAAGTACCTGTCCAATTCCCTTTTGAAAGCTATTATTTATTATTATTATTAATAAATGGACAATTGGAATTTTGACAGAAATGCTCCTGAGTGAATTACTGCTGCTGTAATTGCTAAATTCTGATGTACGCTCGAGAAACTTAGCCGCAAAACTGTAAATTTTTTACAAGGCCGACAGTGGTGCGTTTGCTCAACAGCTATATTTTTAAATTTCTCTGAAGGTTATAGAACTCAAGTTTATGAACGCTGCGAAATCGAGATCCGTCTGTTCATCTGGCAGCCATGAAATCCACATAATCTATGAGCTGCTTTTCTGTGCGTCATTCCACTCAAGTCACTTTAGTAAATGTAATGGCCTTCATTGTAAGATGACAGAGTTGCAAGAGGGTTAAATAACTCCAATGCTAATAGTGAAAAGAAACTATTTAGTGAAAGTGCTTTTTTTTTAAAAACACGTTAGCAGATTTAGAATCATAGAATCTAATAGAATTTTTCGATGAGGTGACGGAGAGGGTGGATAAAGGTAGTTCCACCAATCATAGAATCATACAGCACAAAAAGAGGCCATTCGGCCCATCGAGTTTGTGCCGGCTCTTTGAATAGAGCAATTAATGTCAATCCCACTCCCCGGCCCTTTCCCCATAACCTGCAAACCCGTCCTCCTCAAATACCCGTCCACCGCGTTTTTAAAAGTAGTCGGGAGATATCAACACTCTCAATGTTCAGTACAAAGTACTGGTTTGAGAGTGCTACACTATTGGGGGCATTCTGCCCTGCCCGTCCCCTCTTCCTACCAAGCCGGACAGTCACCCAGTCATTTTCCGTCTGAACCCTTAGTGTGTGGGGTGGGGTGACCACCTCTTGAGGTGTCTGGTCCATCAAATACTCACATTCGTTGAGCAAGTTTAAAGCCCAAGTCTCCATCACCCCTCTCTCAGGGGTCCCATTATCTGCAGGACTGATGAAACCATCCTGTCCCTGAGCATTAACCGGATGCAAGCATCTCCTTTACTTCTCTTGTTCAGATCTTACTGTTGATTGCTGTATGAGTGATTTATGTAAGATGGGATTGATTACCAAATGTGATCTCCCTCCTGTTGCCCAATAAGACAGCCATTTACTACTTTCAGACAAGCCACGGCCAAGAAAGAGGTTGACTGAGCTAATGGTTAAAACGGCCCTCGAAAAGCCTTCAGCAAAAGAAGCCAAGCGACAGGAAGAAGCTGCCAAAGAATGGGGTCTTCGGTTCTTACGCAGTCCAGTGCAGATTTTGCCAACTAGTGATGGAAAACACGTAGCTGGAATACGTCTGTCTGTAAATAAATTGGAGGTAGGTAATTACCCTTTGGGTTCTGAGTCGATCATACTTGCAAGGTTCGTAATATACTCCAGGTCACACTTACAAGACTCCAAATTTGTCCTTCTGACATGAAATACACCGCAGATAAATGTAAGTTGTTGGGTATAAGCAGCTGATTGGTGTCTGTACTTCAGCAAAGATGGAGGACGTGGTTGAGGGATTCAGGGTTAATTAAGGTCAAAAGCAATGTTGTCAGTCCTGTTAGCTTTGTAAACCAGAGATAGTTTGTATGTATTTAAATCCTGACTGCTTTGACTATAAGTAACTGGATAACGTGTGTCTGTGATAATATGTTACATATATATATCTATTCACACACACAACTTAATTATCAAGCTGTGTATTATTTGGTTTGGTTACTGGAGATTTCTTCTCTTTCCTGAGGGTTCAGGAGAGTCTCTCAGGTCCATTCAGACAGAAGAGCTTGAAGATGTGGAGTGTGGCCTGGTATTGAGCAGCATTGGCTACAAAAGTCATCCCATCAGCTCCTCTTTTCCATTTGATAATAAGAAAAGAGTTATCCCAAATCACTTGGGTCGAGTCCTGAACACACCAGGTGAGTCGCTATACAACAACAACTTGCATTTCTATAGCGCCCTTCACATGGGGTAGCGCCCGGAGCGTTTCACAGTGGCTAAGTTTGACAACAAGCCAAGGGGAGAGGGAAGGCGTAGCTGACCGTAAGCACAATTAAAAAGAAAGGTCTTTAGGCAGGACTTGAAGGTGGGGAGGGAGGGGGCAAGGAGAGAAGGTTCTATGTTCTATCCCTATGTTCTGGCGAGAACCGTTCTTGACAGCCTTGCTTATCACTGAGCTAACTTCATTATGAATACATTGTTGTCACAATCTTTTCTACTGATTTTATAAACAAACAGCAGATAATACATTGCATTTCTTTTTTCTTAAAACTGTGGTGCGTTAATCTGCAAAGCTATTTATCTATAGTTAGTAACAATATGATATTGTAGTTCAAAAGGATATTTCGTAAGAGCAGTTATTGCTCTGCTGGTTATTTTGGAGAATTTTAATAATAATAATAATCCTTGCATTTGATATAGCGCTTTTCAGGTCGGGAGGACGTCCCAAAGCCCCTCACAGAACACACTGTAAAGTGAATTGACTGTATATTTGTGGGTGAACGCGGCAGCCAATTGCGCACAGCAGCGTCCCACAAACAGTCGTGGATTGAAAATGACCAATTTAATATTGTTTTTGGTTTTGGAGGGATTATTATTGTTATAATATTATTATTTAGTATTGGAACAATGTAGACTTTCTTCACAGAGTCAGCAGTACTTCTCATTTTCTGACGATTTGTAGTGCTAATCTTTCTCTGCAGGTTAAAGAATGTAGTCATTAATGTGCGATCAGGCCACTTTGAGAATCTGGGAAAGTACAAATTTATTTTTCTTTTGAGCAACAGTACGGATAAGGCGGACCGAATACCCTCACATTTCTGTGGTTCTAGATTATTTGGACCTTGTTTATATTGGACTGAAAATTGTGTACTTACCTTATGCAGCAACAACAAAATTACATTTGTATAGCGCCTTTCACGTCGGGAGGACGTCCCAAGGCGCTGGTGTACATGCAAACTGATGCCCACTTGTGAAGTAATCCTGAAAGTAATGGGTTGGATGTTGCATTGCTTTGCTCCATTCATGTGAATAATCAGATTATTTTCTATTTACTTTCCGAAACTAATTAGGTCTTTACTGCAGCGGCTGGGTAAAGAGGGGACCAACTGGGGTCATATTGACCACAATGAATGACAGTTTTGAAACTGCGGAGTCTGTGGTGAAGGATGTCAAATCGGGGTCACTGAATTTGTCTGTTCCAAAAGCAGGGTTCAGTGCTGTGCAGGCTTTGCTTCAACAAAGAGGTGGGTGTGTCGCTATCCTTCATAAATGTTTAGCAATTCAGCAATTAATAATTTGTCACGCAATCCACAACTGCTAGATAATTATTTGGGGAGGACAAGTTTGCACGGCTATGGCGAGAGGGATTGAATTGGATAGCTTTTTTCAAAGTTTCCGCACAGACACGATGGGCCGAATGGCCTCCTTCTGTGCTGTAAAATTCTATGATTCTATGTTTGTGGGACACTGCTGTGCGCAATTGGTTGCTTCACTTCACCAACAAAAAAAAAGTCAATTCACTTTGCAGTATAACATTTGAAGCGCTTTGAGACCTTGAAGACAAGATAAGGGGCTATAACAAATGCAAGTATTATTATTGTTATTATTTTCAATCCTGCTATTTAGGTGTATGCCTCGTTTCTTTTCCTGGATGGGAAAAGATTAACGAGGCTGAGTTGGCAAAAGGAGCAAAATTGGGAAAAAGCAGAGAAAAACTATCGAATGTGGAAGAAATGCTGCAGGTGGCAAATCAGTGAAGCATCCCTCTAGCAAGAAGGCCATGACTGACCGACTACTTTGAACTCAACCTTGAAATGGCATCTTCTGCCTCAGCGGCAGTTTATTGCAGAAAGGTTTAAATTCTTATTTTCTTTGTTGAAAAGAGGTAGAGTTCCTTTTCTTAGTCTTAAAATAGGTAGACTTAAATATCCCTTTAATACTAGGGTGCAACACTTCTTTCCATGGTTAATTTTATATCCTGTCTCTCGCGAGGAGAATTCAAAATGAATTGTACCCTGAGGCAGAGTTGGAAAATGTATACCTGATGAATGTGTCTAATGATTTCCCGGTTCCCTCTGAAGTCATCAAAAGTGACACTTGAATGGTAATCAAAAAGAGTAATCCTTGGAAGAAAGTGATTGTTTCAAGACTTGTTCAGGGCAAGTAGAAATGTGGTAGAATAAGTAAAAACTTAATTATTTGTGCAAACCTATCCAAAGACCTTAAATCATGTCTACATATTTAAGCTTGGTTTGTGAGCGAGGAATTGTGTTTGTTGCTACCCTAATTTTAAACCATCTACACTTGTAACGGTTTGTGCTCCAACGGTGGAGCACAAACTACGACCTTGGCTTACAGTTAGTTTCCGGAAATGGATGCAGGCCCCACAGTTAATTCATTTTAGAATATTTGACACGTTGTCCATTACACACTAGTTCACAAATTTTTCAAATGAGTCAAATGATCCATCCAGTAGAGCCTCTACCTAGCGTTATAATGCATAATGTCCTGCTTTACACTTGGCTGATAAATGTGCTGGTAATCTGGCACAGTGTAGGATTCTGTCACAGTGTTTTTTTTTGTACCAGTTGAAATGAGACTACAAATTTACTTGGGATCAAATAAAAATATCCTTTGTATCTGTTGGCTTGAGTTTCTCCATGTTTCATATCTGGCTGCTGTTCAGCCCAATTATATACCCTGCGTGTTCATGGTTCAGTGTGCCTAGTCGCATTTGCCACAAGTCTGCGGTTTTCCTTCTGCGTGCAGTACAGCATGTTGCACGCATCTGTTAAGCCCAATTTAAATGAGGGTGATGGACATTCTGCCTTGATTCACCAGTGTGTGTTTGCTGTCTATTTGTAGAAAGATTTGTAAAAAATATACATATGGATGGGTTCCTCTTAGATTGGGTTTTATCTGCATTCTGGAGTAGATCCCTTTGTGTAAATGCTTCGTCAATTGCCTCACCTTTTCACAGCTGCACATACAGTCGTCCCTTGTGGCCATTTACTTGGAGAGGATCCAAAGCGTATTGCAAACTATTGGACTTCTTCCTAAAATTACTAATTGACCATGAGGGAAAAACAAATTCCTGGTTAGTTTTGCTTAATTTGTTTTTTTTTACAAAAAAACTATTCTGCACAACCGACAGATTCCAGTTCCAGATTAAGGTAAAAATTAGCTACAAATAATTTATTATTGAGGAACGAACGAATTGTGAACCGTCTAAATCTGGGACTTATTTCTGAAACCCGTTTCTTGTATGAATAGCTGTTTTGACGAGAGGAAACCTCTATTGGGATTAAGATGTGTTGTTTGTAAGAGCATCTCAACCCTCTTCCAAACTGCTATCCCTGGCCCTGGAGTGCTTAATAACGAGGCTGGATATCGGAAATGGGGAAAGCATTCTCACGGTGCAGAGAAAACAAGCAGTCAGGAAATATTGTTGCTTAATATAATAAATGTAAGCTCAGACCCTCTAATGTTATACTTGGTTATACCTATGACACCTACTAGGAATGTGTATTTCATATTTATTTGGCCCTTATCTAAAGTTATTACTTTTCACAATTTTTTTTTAAAAAGGATCATGTGCTACAAATCTGAAATTCCTGGTTCTTCTGCTTTCGCAAGTGAGATAAAAAGTGCAATTTTGCTTTGTCAACAGGACCCTCACAAATGGATTTGGAAAACAATATTTTCCTTTCCCATTCCTGTTGTAATTTGGATGAAATCAACAAGCGTAATGCCTCTTCTTATTCACGGTCATTATTACGATAAATTGACTGAACATTTGGTTAATAAAATAATTGGTGATAATCATACACCAACCAAACTATTGACCATCATGAGAAGCGGCATCTTTCCCCACAAGATGGTGCTGCTGTTCAGCTCTCCGTCACTGCTTTTTGAACAAAGTTAAACTTCACCAATTTTACTCACATGGCTTTCCATTAATAACACTGTCCTTGCATTTAATATAGAACATGTAATATTGAAATTTCTGAAAGTGCTTCATAAGGAATAGCTGTCAAGTGTAGTGATTGTATTTGTAGGCAAACGTGGCAGGTAATTTATGCACAGCAGGTCCCACACACACAGCTATGAGATGAATGAGTAATTCATCGAGAGAGAATTGTTGACTTGGGACACCAGGAGAAACTCACTTTTCTTTTGGAATAGTGGCATAGGATCGTTAATGTGCACCTTATCAGCCAGGCAGTTCCTCAGTTACATCCGAAACTTTGATCAAAACCTGGAAAGATCACCTGTGGGAGAAGCCAAAATGTGATTGAACCTCATATTCAGGAGTCAGTAAAACCCACACAAGTCTTAGCTTTATAAGTCGTATAATCCCCTAAATCGTACATTCACCTGAGTCCCATTCAGTTTCCTATCAAGAGGACAAAATAATGACATCACCAACACACTGAGATCATTCTCTATTTATTTTTAAAGCATAATTTAAAATTCATTTTTATCTACATAAAAGTAGGGCTACTGCATAAACATTTGAGGAAATCAGGACGCAATTTCTAAAAGGAACCAACGTTTTGCACAAAAATATGGAGCAAAAATGCTGTAGTTAAACACGAGAAACATTTGCCACTGAATACATACTCTCTGTTTTGCTTCCGGAGTTCCTTCGTCTCTTTCAAAACGGCTGCAGAAAAAGAGTGAAGCCGTTGGGAGTGCTGTTGGTCAATTCAGAGCGAATTTGGACATTTTCAGACATTGTTTGTCATAAGAGCGATCGTCAGTCACTGCAAAGGCTGAAGATCGCCCTCATTTATGTATAAGCCAGCAGGTACAATGGAGTGGAGTGCAACACTAAAATTACCCTGTACTCACCATGTGAAAAAGTTACAATTTCTAGTGTACCTGTTTTTTTTTGTTTGTTTTAAACCTCAATAATTGTACATTATATTGAACATTGACAGGACTCGACCTGTATCTATTATATATACTATTGAATACATTGTTCAATTTCTTAAAACATACTTGACTGAAGAGGTATATATATATATATATGTATATTGACAGACTTGGTACTCCTTACTGTGCGGATAGATAAACCACAGAAAATTTGATGAAAACCTTTGACAGTCACAAAAGAAAGTTTAACCAGTGTTTCAGTAACAACCCTGAAAACCTATACTGATGAAGTGTTATGAGCTACTTAACAACCAGAATGATCGACCCCACTATAAACCCCAGCAATCAAGTACTAACCAATACAATACTGGGATTTAATAAGTGGGCCTTTGTAATAATAATCTTTGATTTTGATATAGTGACCGAAGCATAACAACACTTCACCACCTTTTCTGGATAGTGACTCTGGATTTTTATGCAAATGTGGCCGCAAATATTTGCACTGCAACGTCACACAAACAGCTGTGAAGTGTACAACCGTTTTTTTTCTCTCTGGGGGATTGTTGGCTGGACATTGGGAGAAACTCTCTTCTCTTTTCCAATATTGCCATGGGATCTTTAACGTCCCTCTCAACAAACAGCACCTTCTGAGCTCCCTCTGCACCCCCACCAACACTGGACTGAGGATCAGCCTGGACTATGAGCTCCATGTCTTGTGGGGCTTGAGCCTACAGCTTTCTGATGGGAAGTTTGAACCAGGCTAAAGCCTCGTTGCAATGGGATTTATCAATAAGGAAAAAGATTGTGGTCTCTTTCCTGGTAACTGACAGAGCACCTTTCATGTCGTGTTCCAGTCCAAATATAGATCATGTAAAGCCAATCTCCCGCGAGTTGGCATGTCGTTCCTTATTACGTCCCATTTAGAAATCAGTGTATGTTTTGTTTTGTAATATTTGAAAGTACTTTTCGAGTTCACAACCCCCTCCCCCCACCCCATGAAAATAAATTGGTCATTCACTTCACGGCTGTTTGTGGGTCATTGCTGTGCACAAAATGGCTGCTGCGTTTGCCTACAAAGTGCACAGTCACTACACTGTAAATAGTAGCGGATCGTGTGAAACGCTTTGAGACGTAATCCCGATGTGAAAGGTGCTACGTCAAATGCAATGATTGTTCATTACTACAAATCGTGATACAAATCACGAGGGTCATGGATAAATAAAGGTGAAGGATGACGGTATGTTGGAGCTAACGTGTCCCTGCTGGCTAGTAACAGAAAATCATTTTACACTTAATGAATATTGTAGTAAAATATTATTTTCTATATATATATATAGCAGTATATAGTTTTGAAACACAGATCACATCACTGGTTACTTTTTAATGCTTATGTCTGATCATAAATAAATGCCTGAGAACAGATTATCCTATCTGAATGACCTTAACAGTGTACTGAGTACTACAAGCAACTTTTTCATTTTTTTTTTCTTTTTTTTTTGCAAAAATAGTCTCTTTTGCGGTTTCGAATGTCGTACAACAATTCTTTTTAAAACAGGTGTACAAATTTGATATCAGTTCTTTCCCAAATCCAATTCCTCTGAAGTCGTCGTCAGCCTTAAGCCCATCCCCCGCCCCCACCTTCTCTCTCCACTCACCAATACAAATGAAATTTTTTTTTAAAAAAAAGCACATGCAGATATCTATATTTTCTTTTGCTCTTTTTGGGGTGGGGGGATGGTGAGGGGGGGGCAATTGTTTTAATAATGAACACATTTTTGGACAAAGAACAGGGTCGCTCTGAGCTAGTCCCTGTTACAGAACTGTAATATTTTCAAGGGAAGGTTTCATTTAAAAAAAACACTACAATGATTAGAGTTAACTAAACCACACGTGTTACTCATTCACCCGATCAGTCAATCACTCACGATCTCTACTGTGTTCACTCACCTGTAGCTCCGTTCACATTGGACTTCATCGGAACTTTTGCGAATCTATTCTTTGGCAAATACAGATTCAGGTGGACTTTATTTTTCAAGTGGGAGATAATCAGGGGAGATTTTCTTTTACTGGTCAATTTTCTCCCCACTTTCTCTCCTGAAAGTGCTGTCTGATTCTCGTTGGGGTTACAGTGTCCCCCTAGCCACTCGGCCAAGTGCAAACTCTATTGGCTCCTGTACTCTGTACAACTAAACCTGCAACCGACATGTCCAGATCATTTCGTGCTACATGGCGTCTTTGCTCACTCACTAGGTCTTTGAGAAAGGACATGCATCGTTGGAAATTATTTGTTTTTTTTTTGTATCAGAAGTAAACCAGGTATCAGCAATTATCAACCAGCAATACATTCACATCGCCAATTAGGTTTTTTTTTGACCATTCTTGAAATTCTCACGTTCTCTCCTGAAGGCACTGACTCCTCGCACTGAGTATACTGGTTGCCTTTCATAATCCAGGTCTCCATCTGCGTGGCTAACACAAGGCAGTGAGTCTTGGTAGGATATTTGAGGGTCAGAGTATCACATCCAAGATCAACCCTGTTCTCACCCTCTTTCCAGCAGGGGCGACTGAATAACAATCCTGCAGAAATTCCACTTGGTCCTAGACGTAAGACTATTTTCTTAACATTTAAGAAATTAAATGCAAACTGGATTCAAAATTAAATCTGAATTTAAGATTTTTTTCCCCAAAATTTGGACCATCTGAAATGTCATAAAAATTGGCTGAGCCTAGAACCAGCTGGGATCTCCTTGGATGATATTTTTGGCCCTGGTTTAGGATTGATGAAGTCGACTGCAGCAACCAAACACTCACAGAACACCAATCGCTCCTTCCTCATCTGTGTAGCTCACTTTCACACTAGTGAGTGAATTTACTAACTGGGTCTTTGAGGGAGTCCCTAAAAGTGATTGCATTAGACACTTTGTGATTAGAGCCACAAGCACAAACACATCAAATGGAGTAAATTAGATGCATTGAACGCTGCAGAAAGTGTTTATATGGTCGTATTTAATGTCTAAATATAACATCTTTGACAAAAGAATCTCTCTCTCCAATGTAACGGAAATTACAAATTGAAGTCTTCCTCTTAAAGTGTCACGAAGTGCAAATATTCTTTGTATTATTATTAATGCAATTACTGCACGGAGCTTTCGACAGCAATTTTTAGTTAACTGAAATAATGTGACACAAATGGGGAGCGGCTTGGCAGAACAAAGGCGATTTTGCATAATTTTTCTATCCTCCTTTGAAATTCTGACTCTTGATGTTCTTTTTTTTGCCAAAATCATTCCATTTATAAGTAGGCTTTGAGACGAGTGATGGAAGCTATATCAAATGCAAGGATTATTATTATTATTTTGTTGGAGCGGTGTTTTCATGAGTCAGCACCAGTTGCTACAACCCCACCATTTTCTTTCATTAATAATAAACCATTTGTTATAGTGACTTTCACCTCTACGCACTTCACAGAAAGTGAGGTGACTGCATATTTTGTAGGTAAACTCATTAAATTAAAAGTGCTGTACTTTGAGCGTAAAGTGTGCAAATACTTGACCCTTTCTGTGTCCCTCTGAAGAACCTTTGCCTATTCATATTGAATGAGCGAGTGGGGGGGGGGGGGGGGGGGGTAAGAGGAGGAATAACAACCTTGGTGCTTGTTTGCACAAATAGCAGAACTGTAATGTAAACCAAACTTTGGTTGGTGGGTGAGGTGCCTTGTTGCCAACATTTTAAGAAACACTTTACAACCAGCAAAACAATGCATCCAAATGGAATAATGCCATCAGCAAAGTTAGATATATATTATATATATATATATTATATATACCGGGCTTGTGAATTCAAGGCAATTCCTGCAGTAACTGAAAGGATTTCATTATCCCAATTCATTTTCCCATTGATTAGCCACCAGCCGTGTTGCCCTATATTGCCCAGACCCATTATTTGGTCAAAAATACCTGAATACAGAATAGAATTTAATAACTATTAAATACAACCTCTCTCTAATATATACTACATAAATATTAACATTGCACTTTCACTGTATCTATTTTGATCAGTACCTTCTCTGTGATGTGTCCATCTATGGAAGATGCATGATAGGAAGAAAACTGGTTTAGAGTAGCAGCCACTCTTACACCTTAGACATTTTTACATTTTCAGCATCATTTCTTTTGCGCTGAGTGCATTCTATATGAGACCATATTAAAAATACTTACATTTAAATAAAACATCAATTTTAGCTGATAGAATCTGAACCAGAGTGGTTTACAGAGAATGTGCAACTCCTGTAGTTACAGAATCCAAAGTATTCTGGCAAATACGCTTACAGACTCATTCACACACATACACGCGCACCACACACACACACACACACTAACTAGCAATGGAAGAGATCACTGTGATGCTCATTGTACTTAGTCCATCTGCATACAGTAATCTGCAATGTTAAAGTGCTGGTGTGCTTTCAACTAACCAAATCAATGTGATTGAGCTACAAGGGTACAACATAGAATGTTTCTCTAACAAAGATCTTGCACACGTATAGCACTGGAAAGCCCACAGCTGGATGCTAAGCCCAAAATGTAGGGACTGAAATACTGTTTCATATATTGGGCGTCATTAGAACTATTAGCTCTTAGACATTTGCAGTATCATGATTCATCAATACTCCTACCAAATTGTTTTTCCAATAGAACCTTGTCTACTATTTGGTCTGCTACATAAGACAAGATGACTTGGTAATTCTCAGCGCGATGCTGTACTGATTGGCTGAAACCTGTGCTGCTGTGCTGAGGGTTGTGAGCCTCCTTGGATCCCATATGGCCTCTGTTGGGTGCTGAAGGGCTTCAGATATCCATGAGGTCCTTTGATTAGCAGTCCTACCATCTAGAAGAAACATCAAACAGACCTTTCTGATGAAGTCAATGTTTCTGCAGGACACTAGCAAAGGTTACAGAACCTGCTATAGAAAATTATCCAGTGAGGTGTTTATTAGCTAAGTTGGCAGGTAGGGCCTATATACATAACACCATGTGGATCATTTAGAACAAGTTATAAGGAATTATTGGTTGTTTTTTTTAAACATAGGAGCAAAAATTACATTCTAATATAAACATTTTTTGAGTAAATTCTCTTTCTGGAATTCACTTGTGAAGTCAGACGAATCATTATAGGTCACAGTTTTGACTAGACTGGAAGCAATGTAACTTTAAACTGGGTACAATAAATATTCAGGGTCCGATTCCCAATTAGATGCAATGGACATAGTTGCCTGGAGGTAATGGGATCACGGCACTGCAGTCTAACAAGTGAACAAAGGGCGAGCTTTAAGCAACATCATTTTTTTTTAAAGAAACAAGTTATTGGAATTTTTGAGGAGCAAATGAGCCTAACTATCACAGTACGATATGAAATCATTGGATCCTCCTCTTTATTGCATCAAGTGCTACAATGACGAAGGAACGCATCAGGTGTGGCCACGCTGATCTGGGATCATTTTTCCACTGTGCAGAAAAAGTGCTACGGCAACAGATTTATTCTTAACCGTTTCCAAGGAACTTTACTTAATGAGATGGGATAGTGGGACTGCAGCGAATTATGACAGTGACTATCTCAGCATAGCTGGCACAGGTCCTTACCTGACTTGTCTTTGGCCATTGCACTTCTCTCTCCTTCGTGGATGTTTGTTAAAATGCACGAGTCACTTTCATCACTAAGTGCACATGTATGGAAATGGAGCGCTCAATCACGCTGTTACTGATCAAACGTTTCCAGCCAGGGTTAGAATGATTAAATTTTTTTTACAGGATAACCGGGGGAAACAGCCAGTACAGTTTCAGGATGTCACCCTCAAATTGCTTCTAACTGGATGCTACCAGCTCACCAAATCCTAGGCTCTAGGTACAAATTGATGGATGTAAAGTGTAACTCAAGGTCAACTGATACTATAAGGATCAAACCGGAAATCATCAATAAATAACACAAGATAACAGATTAGGAAGTAAACATCAGAAACAACAGTATCCTGTAAGAGAATTCTAACCCATACGACTGGTACAGTATTAAAATCACAATTTAGCAATAATACTTTTCAGTAACTTTGAGAAATGCCCGACTAAGTCAATAATACAGTGGAGTGCCATTTTTCGATAGAAGATCAATCAATCATCTCAGTTAACCACACAAATTAGGCAAATATTATATTTTATTTCACTTATCATATTTTTAAAAATATATTGATAGCTGGATTTTTGCTTTGTGCTTTCTGGACAAAAAAAAATGATTAATTGCCCGTAAATATCCAGGGTAATTTCAGCTCTCTGAGCCTTCCAATTGAACACTCTCCTAGAAAAGATACAACTGATGCCAAAACACAAACCAAATTGCAGTATCTGGTTGTGGGATCTTACTGAGGAAACTATACCAATTTTATACCAACTTAACTTAACAAAAAGTGACTCTCCACTGTGATGGACTATACCCAGGTTTGAATGCTTAATCAGCCACCCACTCGAGTTCCCGGCAGATCTGCAAGGTGGAGACTCATCCGTCAAATGTTGATGCTTCGTTTGTGGAAAGGGGAGGGGGGTCAGGGCTTGCGTATCCCCCAGCGTGGGTCAGAATCCAGGATTCTTACACGATTGTATTTTTTTTAAACATTAGGAAAGGAAGAAACACTTTTTTTTTTGGCAAATTAAATATCATCAGTGGTCCACCTCAGGCTGATCCAAGGAAAAACTGGGAAGAGTCAGCAAATCTCTGATTGGGGAAGGGGAAGCAGGAGTGCTTTCAGGAAGCAGGGGTTCCGCAATGTCCCCAGAGTTTTTGTGGGGGGCTGAGTCACAGGACGGAGCCCGCCTTCTCAGACACATGTTGCCGTCGGCGTTAGCTTGCCCGTGTGACCCTTGTATTGTTCTGAGGTGCTCATCTGGGGGGTCTATAGAAATGCAGGGTGGGCTCATTTTCTGCTTCTGGCGTGACGTTTGCAAGCCTTCCAGTTCTGTCACTCCGTGGTCGATCAGGCCACAGGACGAGGAAGGAAAATGACGTGCCGGGCTGACGTCAACAGACGAGCAGATTTCAATCGAATGTCTCCGAGGGTCATCTAGCCACGACACTGGCTTGGCCAAAAATCCCTGGGCATCCACGCTGTAGAACCTTTTGATGTCCTTCATTGTGAGGTTCCCTGTGCTGTTGCAGCTTTTCATGGGCAGTGGAGGGCACACAGGCGACCTGGAGGGTCTCTTTTTACTGCTATTGATCTGAGAGACTTCCTGGTCGGCTGGGTCAGGGACCTCCTGGAAAGGTTCCTGGAGAGATGTGGGGAGGCTGACACAGAGTTAGTGATGTTGCACTGGTTGTGACTGTGCTGCTGGATGTGGATGCTGTGCTTGTTCGGTGCTTTGGGTGTGGCAGGCACTAACACCAAAGAGGGCTGCAGAACAGCCACAGGAGGTACAGACACATTCAAGGCTGGTGGCAGCTCACCAGGATTCACCTGCACGCTTTCCTTTGGCTCCGTACACAGTGGATCCAGATATTCGTTTGTCACAGCAACCTGAGTTGGGTATTTAAAGATCAGGGGCAGTGAGAGAAACAAAAGAGATCAAACAGATTAGTATGACCTGAATTACATTACAATATTACATTGTATGGTGCCTTTCACGCCAGAAGGATGTCCCTCACGCAGGATAGCGTCCCAGAGTGCTTTACCATCAAAGATGGCAGGATACGTTCTCTGGAAGGATGAAATCAAATGGACCAAAGGGCCTTCTTCATCTAAACCAATCTTGGGATCTTGGAGTTTGGTACAATATAATGTACGATACAGTGAAAAATAAAGTACATTATTGTAAAAAAGCTGCGCATAGCATTATTTTAATAAATGACACTGAGATATAAATAGAAGCCAAAAATAAATTGTGTTGTCAGAAAATGTCTCTTAAAGGAAATCTGGCAAATCCCGAACCTCTCCTGGGTGTGTGACAGGGAGCTGTGGCCGCTGCTGACACCCACCTGCCTCCGGAGCATCCTATGAATGCTTGCAGACCGCACGGGGGGAGGAATTCTGGGAATGTTTTCGGCATCAAGACTGCTCCGAGGGCTGATTGGATGGAATAGCTGTACCGGAGCCTGGAGGTTGGAAGCGCTGTCCGTTGGCTGTGACTGCACCGATGTGGTGGAACCTGGAGACAATTTATAGCAAACAGTTACTATATTCAGGTCAAGGAGGACAGTTCCTATCTTCGCATGTGAGATACAAAGCCTCTCATCCCTCTCCTCATCTGAACCCAGGTGCAGTTCATTCAGCAGCCAGAAACCACTATCACAGTCTACCTGTCTGGTTTCCTTTTCAAATGCCCACACTAATATCCCCAATGTCATTCATTTTCAGGACAACCTCTCCTCACTCAGCATCCAAGCATCTTTTAACGAGTGTTTCAGATTCAGGATTGGGAATGGAACTCTAGTGATCTTCTGACGCAGAGACGAGAATGTCAAGCCAGGCTGACATCTACCATTAACCTTTCTGACCGAAGGGAACAACACCAACTTGCATTTATATAGTGCCCCTAATGCAAGGTAGCTTCCCAGAGCGCTTTGTCAGGGATATACCTGACTGGTATCTGTGGTTGTTCTGAGACTCGTGTAGATCCGGTGATGGCGCTGGGTCGACAGGCTGGAACATGTAGCTGTCATTGGGCAGCGAATGGGTCCTGCCAACAAAGGGCCTCCTCACTGACAGGAGGTTCTTCTCCGGGGTTTCCTGTTGAACTTCGTTCTCCTGAACATACTCAGCCTGCAAGATACGAAGCAAAGTAAGGATCAGTGGGACGAGACTGTTTGGCCGAAGGAAGCTTTGTTGCCGATATGTAAAATACAAGCATGCGCCAGGTCACTGACAACACAGAGACGTCCTACAGTAGCACCAACACGAACAAAACGATAAAGGGCTGAGACATCTGAGCGGGATATATCACATCATTTTTCTGCACACATTCTAAGCCAATGGATCACATTATAGTCTCACTGCGGCTAATGAAACAGAGCGTGTCACAGAGAACTGGTTGTGAGAACGGGGGGTGGGGGGTGGAGTATTTGGTGGGAGAACTCAGTGTGAAACACAAGAACCATGACAATGCCAATTCCATCAATTGTTTGCTTCATGCAACAAGTCAACTTACATAACAACATAAGAAATGCTAGACAAAAAAAGACCAAGGTCTATCTAGTTCGCCTTCCACCTTCCTGGCGGTCGCATGTAACTTCTTACAGGAGTGAATGTTTTTTCTTATTAAAATGCACCATTTGGAAGCTACTGGCGTTTGTCTAGCTGTTTTGAAAGACAAGAACGATGTGCTTAGTTATTGCAATCAACAAGCAAAGCACAGTTGTTGGATGTTGAATATAACTGAGTATCATGAGGGAGGCTGAAAATGATCAAAATTAATGAAAAACTAAAACGTTCCAAGGGGAACAACTCCTCTTTGGGCTGAAAATACGCTCAGCATTATGTGTCACACCATTGCCAATTTCAGCTGTCTATGGGATTTCCTTGTTATAATCTCCTAAAGTGATACATGTACCGTCCACTGGAATTTCAAACCACTTGCCTCCAAGTGCAGTGATTGTGACCCAGCGCAAAGAAGTCAAGAACTAAGCTAGAGAACCATTGCTCCAGTTAACACATCTTGTTCATTCAGGAGACCTGCAGCATTGGCTGGTAGCACCAAGATCTTCCACTAGTGCATGAAGCATGGTTGGGAATAGTAATCATTGTCATAGTCATCAGCTACATCAAAGCACAACAGCATCTCTACACAACTCTACCACAGAAGGTCATAGTCAATCAACAATGGAATGACGACCACAAGAAGCACAGCTACACCTAACAGATAGAATGGATCCAGATAGATTGGTTGCAACTAAGGATCTGTTGGGCAACAAAACAAAGCACTAGTCTACACAACAGTTTGGAAATGTTGAATGCTGGACGCCAAAGAGGAGCAGATGGTTATATACAAATCAGGGCTAGAAATACTCTTTGTCCTCTCAGAATTCAATTTATTACCAGCACAATATTATGTGGACGTAATTTTATAGCCATGGATAATTCCCCATGGCTTTTCGGTACGTTCACTTGGAAATGTTCCAAAGATATCAGCTGTCAATCACATCCCAACAAGGAAATCCATACCCTCCATTTTTTTTTTATTTCTTGATTTTAGTCTCTTCCATGGATGCCATTAATTGTCGCGTATAATGATTGATTATAAATATGATATAACTTGCATCTAAATTGCTCACAAAGAAGACAAAAGAACCTTCCCTTTAATGAACAATACTGAGCCTGACATTTCACCTCGTCTTACCCGGTGAAGCCATTTTGTCTTAAACTTGAAGAACGTGCAGAACTGTGGAAATGGCATAAATTCAGCAAATGTTTCCGAAAAATAAATCAATTTCCAAATTGAGAATTCGATTAGATTTTAAAAACAATCAGATTCGAGAAGTTTCAACAATTCTACACCGTTTTAAATTGTCTCACGCGCAATCCAATCGACTTAGTCATTTCAAATAGGGTCAATCAGGGTTTGATAAGCAGTTGTCATGGAGGGTATACATAGCCTTGAACTTCTACATACACCACAAATGCATGTTACGTTTTATGTAGAACAAGCAGGAGAGTATTTCAAGCCCTTTGATAAGCAAAATACAGGTTTGGAATATGTACATTGCTTTCCAGTGTATTTAGCAAGAATACATTAGTATCATCGGGAAAAGAGTCATCCGTCAATGCTAACGACCAGGATTTCTCAGACTGAATATCAGATGTCAGAGAAACAGCCTCCATCTCAGCTAGAGGGATCTAAACAAGGGAGAGACGACCAGGCGTAAGAAACTTAGAAAATAATTCACAGAATGGACTGACACTGGAGAAAAGCTCTTCTCTGAGCCATTCACTCAATGGCACATCCACTAACTCCTTAAACAGATAAAGAAATCATCTACGTATCAGAGTGACAATGAAATGCTGCATTTTAAGGCTTTCCAATGACTTACTAGTAAAGCTGGAGAAGATAGTGCGTTGAATGTCTAGGATTTCCTCAATCTTCGAATTTCTAATGTCATGTCATTGTAAATCCCAGTAGAATGAACAATAGTAATTCGACTGCCTCATTCCCTGCCCCTCTCTCTCTTTCACCCTCTCTGCTCTCGGTCTCTCTCTCTCGCTTTCACTCTCTCTGGTTCTTTTATTCTCTCGTTCTGTCTTTCTCTCTGCCCTGTTGGTAATGATTGGCTGCTGAACGGCTCTGTTGTGCAGTTGTTGCTGGATCACGATGCACGTACAGTGTACACTTCACTTCGACATCAGAACACTTAAAAGACAAATCAGGCTTAAAACGGTGCTCCTTACCAAACTTGCTGCTAGCAAACTACACCACACCAGTTTCAATCCAGCATGCAAAAAGAAAGGCAAGTCAGTAGAATGAAGAGAGACAAAAACAATGGTCAGTGGGACATCACTAGATATCATATATGCATGAATATGCATATGTACTGTATATGGAAACTAATTGAGTCTATTTGTCACCAACTGGAATAGCCAGCTCGATCGATCAAATCAAACTAAAGTTTCCGATTAACTTTAAAGTTCCTGTGCAAAGTTACAACTCACCTTACAACTCATTGTCCTCGCCTTAAGACTGGTTTGCCTTAAAGTCAAGAGGGTGCAGAACTTTGGAAATGTTTCAAATCCACTATTAATTTGTAAAGCCAGATTTCCATAGTTCTTAAAAAAGAAACTGGCTTCCAAACTAAAATGTAATATAAATTTACAATTATAGAACGCCTTTGGATGAAGAAACACCTTCGGTCCGTTTGATCTCACCCTTCCAATGGCTTTCATTCACACAAAAAATAACTTAGCCTTGGGTGGCCTGCACTATGGCTTTGGGCAATCATTAGGGCTCCTCAATAACAAGTCTGGCTAATAAGCTTGCCGACCAAGACATCTTCTATCAGTGGCAATTTTGGTGAAGGGGTGGATGATTGTGTTAGAGAAGAAGCTTCTAATATCGGCTCGGCTCAGAATATCTACTCCACTTTCGTGGCTCTATTTCCAAATGTATTCTGAAAGTCAGGGTTATGTGTTGTGAGCACAGAGATATAATGGCACGATTACAATTCTGGGCTTTGACACATTAAAACTGTCTGCTCCAACGCTGTGAAAAGCAGCACTGCCGAAGCAATCAATCCCATTGCAAGCGGGTGGCCCACAAATGAGTGGTGGAAGGTGCTAAGGTCCATATTTTATTAAGTGGAAGTAGCTTGATAGTGTCACTCTGAGGCACTGACCTTCTGATGGAATTAGAACCACAACGATTTGGGAATCTGCAGCAGAGGAGGATTGGAAATCAGCTGACAAAACAGACTTAAAATCTTAATAGTGTCTTAAATGAATAAAAGCAACAGCCCTCTTATACTGATCTGTTTCACTGTAACCAGCAGCACAAAGCTTAAGTGTTATTGTTACTGGGCTGTCCCAGGGAACCAGTAACATTATTTTACACCCCCTTCATCCTGTCCGATTGGAAATATATTGTGGACCATGATGTGTGTTTAATATTGTGTTCCCACTGTCTTGTAATATGCTGGTACTGCACAATTATCATTTATTTTTCAGTAAGCTACGTTTTATGGCAAAGCCCTCTGAGACAAGGGCGAGAAAGTTTTTGGAGCTAAAACTGGGAAGACTGAGGAAAGAAAATTAATAACTGAAGATCTATCATATTTCTCACTCGTGGGTTTGTCCATATAACGATATATGTTCTTTAAGCATTTTCTTTAAATCACAAAAAGTGACGGAGCTCCACCAGAGAGTATGTAAAAATAAAACTGGAGGGAATAGAGAGAAGAGAGGGGAAAATAGGAGAGAGATAAAGAGAAAGAGACAATGACAGAGATTGAGAGGAGAGACACAGACTAAGAGAGAGAGAGAAAACAAAAAGAGAGAAAGAGGGAGTGAGGGAAAGAAAGAAAAAAAGAGATAGAGAGAGAGAAAGAGAAAGAGAGAAACATGTTGGTGCACTGTGATGCAGGCACCATGTGGAGTGAAACCAAAGTGTTGCAATCTTTGCATTCAACCGAGTATGATTTTGAAAGCCGCTAAAGTTCCAGCAAAAGGATCTAGATGGAGAAATGCAATCACACACCATGCAAGGCAAAGCGTCCCGTTTCCAGACCAGAAACCTCAGGCTAACTGGAAAACCAAGCCTCAGTGGCCAGGGTTAGTCATGTCTTGTGATAGCCCCAGGGCTTGGAAAGCTGAAAGGTAGTTATCTACATATACACAGTCACCTCACGTTACAATGATTACTGTCACATGCGTTGAGACGTTTTGATGTTATCGGTGCGGTTTCAAATGCAGGAACTATAACACATTCACAGCCTTGACCATGGAAATTTCAAAGGATACTAGATTTTAAAATAATTGTGAATGTTTTGCACTACATTTAAGCTACGGTGGGGTTGTTGAAAAGCACTGCAGCCTACGTTCAGCCAATAAAACTGTGCCTGGTGTGAGCGGGAAGCTTTGAGCATGTAACCTTGAATCCAAAAGACAAAGAAGTGCCACTGAATTGCATTGACCATCAGTATAATAATAAATTAGTATTTTTCAACATTTATCCGCCAATTGACTAACATCCGGGTTCCTACTCTCTGCTAAGGGAAACAGAGGCGTATGGAGTAAGGGAACTTGCTTACGTTTCACCCTGCCTGGGAATCGAACCCAGGTCCTCTCGCTAGTGAGGCGAGTGCTCTAACTACTAAGCTACAGCACTCCACTGGCCTTCTTCTGCGCTGTACATTTCTATGGTTCTATTACCCCTGGTCTTGGTCAATGTGGGAACAAAGACGATCACTAATGATTTGCTTCCTTTCCTCGCGGTGGGGAATATCATCAGCTTTTATTCTCAACACTATCTTCCTGACAGCAAGACTGGACTTAGGAAATGTACATAAAGGGTTTCATCCCCAAGCTCACTCATTGGCTTTCACCTGAGATTCTCAAATAAATAACTTTTCTGCTTTTTTCCACAGGTAAAACCTAACAGAGGTGACACAGACTTTACACGGTGTTTGACTTCAATGTTGACTCTCAGAGCATAACACTGTGACATATTACCCTCATACTATATTAAACAAAAGGGAGACTTGGAAACCAAGATTCCCTGGTAAATATACTGGAATGTCCACCTCCCCGCGATAGTTCTTGGTCTTTCGAGTTCCTTTTGACTTCTGGGTCTGAACACGGGACTTTGCCAGAGAAGCCAGAATTATTAACCTGTTTCTCAATGGAGCATATGTTTTGCTGAGGGCTGGCGTAGTTGTAGCAAACAGAGCCTGAGAGGTTGTCCATAATGGTGAGTTCTCCTTCCAGTGACCCTTGGATCAGCAGGGATACGTTGTCAAAAAACTGCTTCTCCTGTGCGCAGTGCATGCAGAAGGGAAAGGATGAGGGTGTGTGGAGTTGGGAACATCAACAGAGCAAGGTTTGGGTGGGAGACAAAAGGGAAAAACAACATGCCGATAAACAGAATCCACACTCAGTAAACGTGAAAACATTCTTCAGGGTGCATAACATCACAAGAAGTACAAATCCTCTTTATTTGCACTTCACAACTGCACACAGTGGTAAACTGGATGACTGCTATTATTAAGACCTGCCCGCATTAGGGGTATCACGATTCCCCCCAGTCCAGTCTAATTTGTGGCATTTTGAAACAGATTTGTTGATAATAATCATGTAATTCTCACACTTCTCAGACAGTGAATATGCTGAAGGCTGCATTCAATATTGTTTCAGGCTTTTGATAAAGTATTCTCCAGTGCAATAGTCATTTATATTATAGTCACAAATCACAGATCACCAAAGGTGCTACGCGTCACACTGAACTGAATTTTTAACCATTCAGATTTTAGAAAAGTGATAATTACAACATTTTTTATTAAGAAAGCTTGTTAAGAGACACCACAAATTAGACCGCATTGTTTTAGATTTTGTTTTAAAATCGAGATGAAATATTAAATAATCCAGTCCCCACCAACATGACTGGGTAGCGCTGAAGTTTAAAGACAGCACAAATTCTCACCATTTACAAACAACTTCTGAAAAAAGTCTATCATTTTATTCCAGGAACCTCTCCTGGTTTGGGCATCACCTAATCACTATATACTTCCTTTCCTGCTCCCCTCAGACTTGATAGTTTGCTTATTCTGGTCAGCCAGGTGCCCGACACATGTGGAAACTCATCACTATTAATAATAACATAATAATCCTCCTATTAAGGGTATCCAAAACAAACTATATATGCATGGAAATTTCCAACAGTTTGGATTGGTGTGACACCCCCTCTCAGGGGGAACGTACCTAATCTAGGTACAGGTTAGCAAGAGAGGCTTCGGGACCCCAGAATGTGCGTTGGAGTCACTGCTGGAGTTTTAACCAACTAAAACAAATCACATAGCTTGCCTTTGTGAACACGTCTTGACAAGCTTTACCGTCACGGGGGATAAAATTCAAAGTGATTTCAAAGAGAAAGCTTTTACAATATATTGTATGATTATAACAGTGTATCCTTTTGCTACGGACCACCTTTATTTAATTCCTATATTTTCCAAGTATTTTCTTCCTCTGGGAAAGGGCTGAGTCGTTAGACATCATTAATGTATCAAACTCTTACATAATATATTATTTCAGCAAGACTCTGGGGGTCAAATAATGCATTCCATCTCTGGTTATCACGTGGCTCATTATACAAAGCACCTTTATAACAACAACACAATTACATGATCTGGCTCGTGACCTGGCAATAATGAAATAACATATTCGGATATATATTTATTTAACCCTCAAAGGCTCGAGAGAATCATCCCGATGATCGGTTCCTTACCAGCGGTGGCTCGAAAGAAAATGGTGAATCCACTTTGATATGGAGAGACTCTGCTGGACTCTCTGGGCTTTCCCCTGCATCTCCCCTATCGCTACCTCCCCACATCACACCCTCCGTGGGGGCTGGGTTGGCATTCAACATTTTCAGCTCAAACTCCAGCTCGGCCTCCAGCTCAGCCTCCTCTTTGGCCTCCTTGTTGCTCTCCTCCAAGTGCTTCATTAGCACAGCGATGACCACATTCACCAGCACAAACTGGGCTGTCAGCACAAACGAGACAAAGTAGATTGGCGACACCACTGTGTTGTAGCAGGTGCCTTCCTGGTTACAGTCACGCAAGGTGTCCTGTCAATCAGATAAAAGGAAGCGATTCAACCCAAGTGTCCAAGCGGGCACTGACACTGGTGAGTGAGAAACTGGGCTCACACAGACCCATAACATCTTATTTCATGCCCAGATTAGTGCTTGAGTTTCCTGATCTCGGGCAGGACAGCAATGGAAGGACTAACAACTGGCTTCAGTCTCTTCAGTCTCTTCAGTGTCTGTGCTATGCAATGTACTTAAACAAAGACTTGAAACATACATGAGGGAAGAGGGAATAGAGGCATGTAAGAGAGTTGGGGGGCTCGTGTGGAGTATAAACACCAGCACAGGCTGGTTATGCTGATTGACTTGTTTCCGTGCTGTATCATTCTATGTAACTAGACACAAGGTGAGATTTGAACCTATTACTTTCTGACTTAGAGGTGAGAGTGCTACCCCCTGAGCCAGGCTAACACCAATGTTTGGGACCGTTGTGAAAGGGGGAAAAGAGCTCAATACCTTCATTATTCCATTCCAGTTGTCTCCAGTTGAAACCCGGAAGAGGGTGAGGAAAGCCATCCCGAAGTTCCTGAACGTGGCATGTCGTCCCAGGCCTTCGCATGGATGGTAATTGTCACATTCTGAATTTAAGGCAGAATATGAAGGAGAATGAATTGTCGTTTCAGAACATGTTTCAGCGGTCAGCCCCGGAAACACATCACCAAGAATAAATACCCGAGCCAAACCTGCCGATGAAAATGGCCATTACATTTTGTGGTTAGGAGCTTCTCACCTCTGGTCTGATAGGTAATAAATCTTTATGGACCCTCATTAAAGTGTGTGATATTTTTGAAGCTTTGCCTACTATTCAGAGCTGCTATGCAGTAGACTGACAGAGAGAGGGAGGGTGGGAGGCTAACTCAGGATGCATTCTGAGGAGGACAAGGAGTGTGAATTCTGCCTGAGAGTGTGACATCTGAACAAAACAAGCACTATATGACTGTAGCCAGGCAGGATCAATCAACCTGTGCCCCAGCCTTGAACACCCCCTCTCCTTGTGTGGTTGCTAGATGCCACAGATGCCAAGTGCCTGACATACTTTGGAGCTCAGAAATTTTGTTTGAAGGAGGAGCTTCACTAAAATGAAGAGCAAAAGATCTTAATGGATGCAAAGTGTGGATATGGAATATTAACTCAGGATAAAACTTCATGCCTGTGGCTGTCTTACCTAGGTCCCCAAAGAGCTCGACTCCAAGAGCCGCAAATATGAAAAACAGGAGCATGAACAAGAGCCCGAGATTCCCAACCTGCAGGAAGTATAAATGCCGTGAGCAAAACAGTACCAGACATACTCAAAACCATCCCATCTTCTGTCAGCAACTTGCACATCTACAGTGCCAATCATGTAACAGAAATGCCCCCAACAGCCCTTTGCAGAATGAGATTAACTGGAATTGAAGCGAATGTTGTCGCAGAGGCAAACAGGGCAGCTAATTTGTGTTGGCGATGTCCTATAGATTACCACAAGGTGAACAAACAATTCATTAGAAATCCTCAATGAATTTGGTTGAGGAGGGAATATAAACCAGGATAACTGGAAGGCAAACTCCAATTATCTTTGGAGAGTGGGAAGAGGCTTTGTGTTGTGATGCTAGGATTAGAATGCATTGTGCTATATATGAGGCTCGCAACCACTTTGTCTGACTCTCACTGTAAGTTTCTTACCTGTGGCAAAGCCTGAATTACAGTGTTCAGCAGCGATCGCATTCCTACTGCCATTTTCAACAGTTTCAAGACTTTGTTTAGAGACAAAAAGGAAAGAGATTAATGCAATGAATGCTGTAAAAAAAGTGAAATGGGAATAGCTATACACGTAAAGGCACGATTTTATAGTATCCAGCTTTATACTGTACAGGAAACAATAAGCCATGCCTCCACTGACCTCTGGCGATTCTCAGGACTCTCATTATTCGAATGATGGTGGGGTTGATCGGCAAAGAAGCATTCACCTCAATTTCTTCAAGGGTAATACCCATAATGGATAGCAGCACTATAGCAAGATCCAGCTGGTTCCATCTGGAGCAGTAAAACAGACATCACATTCAGTTATTGAAAAGGCAAAAACAGCAAAATTACATATATAGAACGTCTTTCACGTCGGGAGGATGTCCCAAGGCGCAGGGTAAAATGATAGGGTAACATTAGTGGTATTCTGATGTTAATTTAAGCGCTGTCTTAAGGAATATTGAAAACATTTTGTGTCCTCACGACGTGAAAGTCACCACATAAACTTGCAATATGCTGCACTACATTAATACTCAATTACCAAATATCCAGCAGTATTTTACCTGTCCTTGAAGAACCGCCGAAATCCAAAAGCAACCAGTTTGAACACGGACTCCAGGACAAAGATAATCGTGAAAATGTAATTGCAGATCCTCAGGGCTTTGTCGAGTTCCTGGAGAATGTGAGAGATTGAGATTGAATTCTGCTACGTCGACGACCAACACCACTACTTCAGACATCAAAGCACCAGTTCTCTGAAATGTATCAGTTAGCTGGTGTCTGACATATGTCTGACAACTGAGAGTTGCAGGTCCATGCATCCCACCTGCACATGGAAATTCCAGTGTTAGGATTGTAATGTGCTCCCTCTCTCCCCGAAGGGACACATCCTGCTCCCCTAATTCCGGAGAGTACAAGGCTCAGGTTGGCAAGAGCCAAGGCTTGGGGACGCCAGAGCGTGTGTTGGGGTTCTGCTGGAGTACACTGACTGCATATTTTGTGGGCAAAACGTGGCAGCCGATTGCACACAGTAGTGTCCCACAGTCATAGATGGAGTGACCTAATTAGGGGTTCACTAAATCCATTAGTGCCACTCATTAGTAGTGGCATAGACTCGTACTGCTGTCCTTCTGTGCTGAAAATTTCTATCTGGAAATGTGTCCAGTGATTGTTCCGCTGTTTTCTTTTTAAAAAATTGAAGACAAAATTGTGCTTACCTCGGGTTGCCTGTAATGCTCCATTGCCATGGTGATTACATTCAGCCCGATCACCACAGTGATGAACAGATCCAGGTAATGGCTGGTGCACATATTGTGAATGAATCGCCGGGTGGGAGAGTAGTCAGAGTAATAAGGTTTACTCTGAGCTTCTAAATGGGAGCGAGACATTAAACAATAACAAAAAAAAAATCAGCTGACTGGATCATGAAGTTTCCTTTCAGACATTATTCTACCAGTCAGATCCGACTTGTATTCCTCCCAAAGCACCTCCAGGGTTTATTCAGTGTCAAAAGTAATCGTGTGAAAATAGGAAGACATGCATCTTCTGAGGTTTGGGTCTAAAGAATATTTCCGCTCGTTCTCATAGGATTCCCAAATCCTATGATTTTAAAGAATACAAGTGACTTGAATTCTTTAAAGCATATGTCCTGGAATTCCACATAGTCTTAGCCTCCGAGGCTGGTTTGTGACAAAATTTAAGATCTCGCAGAATGGTGAAAAGATTCTCTCAATTCACCTTTAATGTGGAAGTAGGTTTCACACACTTCCTATTTTGTTTTGTTCATTAATGAGCAATTTCATCTTGGAGAAGGGATCCGTGTTTTAACAACAGTGCCTCCTGCCCCTCACTCCACATGCTGTAAAGCATTTAATGTAATGGAGATTGAAACAATTGTCCTTTTGACACTGAATATCTGACAATCATGAGTTAACATAATATGGGACAGAGACCTCACAACAGCCCACTAGTTCAGCAAAGCTCACGCCTTTAAGTAGCTATGGAATAATTTACCTTGTCAAACTCCGCAAGGGACTGCTCAATACAATCATTGACAAAATCTGCAGAAACCCCAATTCTGCAAATGCATTTTCTAGCAAGTACCTTCCACTTGGACTTGCCACCTTCTCTTACCATTGTCCAGATGCTTTATTCTTTTTAATATAACCTTTGTTACTGGTGTTTTCTTCTCCTTTCTTTGTTACTGGTGTTTTCTCCCCTTTCTTTGCACTAATTTATTTGATCAGATAAGCGCAGACCATCATTGCCCACCATTGCTTTTCCTTTGAGTAACCAATGTGCACTTCAGCCTCTCTGCTCCCACCCTCGCCTCCTTCAAGGCATGTCTCAAGACCTTCCTCTTCGACCAGACCTTCAGCCACCCTCTTACCCCTATCCTCCTTGCCCTCCACCCCTCCTGATCCCAACCCCTTGCTCGGGTCTAAATCCCTGACTGTCCAGCACCTTGGGATATCCTCCCGACGTGAAAGGCGCTGTACAAATGTAATTTATTGTTGTTGTGGAAACTCTTTGCCAAGTTGGAAGAATAGGGTCAGTGGCCAGAAAGTAAGACAAACTGGTTTAAAACTTTCTGCACAGTCTGCGCTGATTTGCTGAACAGTCCCTTCATTTGAATACAACTAATGTGGCAACTATTGTGCTGGGTCCCGCTCCACATCTCCTCTTTACCGCAATTTTAAAAATATATCCTTTATCCGGAATACCTTCATCACTTTACGCAATCAGCTTCAGCGCTTCCAAAATCCAACATGCTGATCATGCAGCTGAATACTGCTTTTAGCAATCTTCCCTTCCAGCTTCACTCACAGAATACAGCTGCATGCGCTTGTAAAGTATGGGTTACAGTCAGAAGATCTTCAACAACAATCTTTAGTAAGGAGGCATGGACTATGCACTATTGCACTGACATCTCACCCATGGCAATTAGGTGAAGTTGGAAGGTACTGTCAAACACAGCTTTAATCAAGTCTAAAACTAAGGAATGTTTCCTTAAACTGAATTATTTTCTTACTTTTCTGGCAAAAAGGTATATACGGGGAGAGAAAGAAAGTGTCATTTGATGCGATAATGATCACTGGCGAAATTACATTTTCTGGGCCGGGAAGAGAGTGAATTTCGCCACTCTTCTGAAGGTCAAGCCTAGAAAATTATTATTAAAAAAAACTTAACGAACTCTCTAAGAGCACCCCCAAATATCTTGCCCGTCACCTCATGTATGAAAACAAACATGACAGCAGATTGTGCGTGAAAATTAGACACTGGGAATGGGATGAGTAGAGGGCATTACCTCCCAGCGGCCATTCTGTGTATTACTTCATCATGAAATAATTCTAGCACTAATTTAACCCCATGTGGGTTAACGTTAGGTGAGATTACAAATAGACAGTGTAAGAATATGATTCAACTCAGTTTAGTGATAGCATCACCTGATTTATCTTTATGCATAAAATAGTCCATGGCTCCTTACAAACTATTCCTTGTAAAAAAAAACAACAAACTGTTTGGTCTTGGGAAATACAGACAATAATTTGTGTGCCTTCCAAAATACGTTCCAAAATACACACGCTTGCACAGCCGATAAAAGTTATCACAGAGAACAATGAGTGAGATCAAATTTTGAGACCACATTGACATCTGCAAAACTTGATTAGACTGGATTAGGACTGACTGACACCAAACCTAACAGGTAATGGAAGACTAGAGCACCTGGCCTGAGAACAGGAACCGGAAGACAAACAGATTTGCAAAATATAACACATGTATCTTTATAACACACATATCGGAGTTAACCAAGCTGTAAACCCAGCCATTAGGGAGTCAAATCGTGATTTGATGTTCTAAATTAATACAACCAGTAAATTTAGCCTGGGCAGGACCATTAAGAGTGTGCAAGTTGGCAAGAAGTTTGATTTTTTTTATTCTTCTAGCATTTCAAATATTTGTTTGATGGATTTATAGGCTGAGATTAAGTTTGTCAACAGACCAGAACACAGGGGGAAATGCAAACTCTTATCACACAACAAACGACTAAAAAACTAAGGAGAGTCCAAGACAGACACACATTTCACACCATCAGAGAAATACCAACAAGGTGACAGACACATGGAGACAAATCACAGTGATCTTTCTGAGTCTGCCTTTGAATAGCGGGAATCTTTGGAATGAAAAAATGAAAGCACGATTATGAGAGCTTCATTTAGTTGGTAAGGGAAGCAAATCATACAATGGAACTGGAAGATTGAGAAAGTTGTGGCCTTTTTGTATTTAAGAAGCTGTGGTGGGAGCATGTCATGGAAGGGTGGGCATTCTGGAAGGATGAGATCAAATGAACCAAAGGACCTTCTTCATCTAAACCAATCTTGTGATCTTGAGTGAATTACAAAATATTTAATGTGAAAATACTTAATACAAACCAACTAACATCCTGGTTACTAATTAACAAAGACGTTAGTTAGTATACTGCCTTCTGATATCAAACTGCTGCTATTTTCCTCCTGGTGGATCCTTTAGTGACGAGAGGTTGTGACCTTAAAATTCGGGTGAAACAGATCAGGAGCCAACATGAGGAAGACTTTCTTCTCTCTCAGAGGTGGAGAAGAAGGTGGAACGGACGGCCTCAGATGAGGAATCAGTTGAGAGATTTAAGAGATGGAGAGATACTCGGGGAATAAAAATATTAAGGGATGAGGTAGAATTAGGGGAAGCTATAATATGTGGGTCAAAGAATGGTCTGTGGTGGAGCAGCCTTGATAGTCTGAATGACTTCCTCCTGTGCTGTTTGTGGGACATGTCACATGCGGTGTGTCTAAAGCATCAAACCATTTAAGAGGAAATTCATGCATACTTGAGGGAGTAAGGAATAGAGGCACATGTGAGGTACAAACACTGGGGTGGAATAGTTAGGTTGAATGGCTTGTTTCAGTGTTGTGGATTCTCTGAATTCTAACGTGCACTATCGTAGCTGCTAGTTTTATTTAATGGGAAGCTGCTGATGCTGAAATCTGTTACACTTTGTTGAGACTGGAAGAGTGCAGGAGGGAAGGAAAGGGGACAGAAGATGTGAAGAGATGGAAGGAGTGATGGGTAAAGATAAGCATACAGTAGATGAGATGAACAGGAAACCATCGGAAAGGGAGAGAGAATGAAAGGAAGGAGGAAGCAAGCCAAGAGAAGCGAAGTGGGCTGAAATTCCGGGCTGGTGTTACACATCGCATTTTTGGTACTGTTGGAGACCAGGGAATTTTGCCGGTAATAACCGCACATCGTCAAACACGCAAGATGTAACGCCAACTGTAATTTCAACCCAAAGATTTCTAACCTACAGATAACATTTAAATAACGTTCTGATAATGACTTTGCCACATGACATTTTAAGCCTCTAAACACTTAAAAAAAAGTTGTTTCTTTTACAGGATCCCTTAGTGGTCTCTTCTGGTCCAGTATATTTCTACTTTATTAGAGCATTTAATATATTTTAAGCTCTGATATAAACATACCTGTAAGACTGCCACAACTTTTAAAAAGAGAAAAAGTGAAGTGAAATCCTAATTATGAAGGAATTATCACCACTGTAAAGCACAGTCTGCTGAATTCGATCAATGTGCCAGTAGCAGCTTCTGACTAACTCAAAATTCTGACGGCCTAAATAAAGTTTACTGTGTGGAACCAGGCTGTTACATCTAAACCATGACGTTTATCTGTATTTCTCAAGGGATATTTGATGGATCTAAAACTCTGGCCTTTACGGACTGTTTGGTTTATTACATCCTTGAGTTACAATCCTGAACACGACTGCTTAAATCTACATTAAATAATGTTCTGTAGTATCATGTACTGAATATCTTGGTGCAGAAGTTGTAACTGAATGACATCTGAACTGAATGGGGACCAAGATTCTTCCCACTTGCTGGCTCTGTGCTGTGGGTAATAGGAGTCTGAGGAATAAGGGGAGTTAATCTATTCAAAACAAATCCCGCACTTGTTTCCACAGCCTGTGTCCAAGGTCCAACATAAATTGTGATGCAGGAAGCTGTGGTGCTCAGGCCTTCTCTGGGGAACACCCCATGGTGGCAGCTCTCTCCAGCTTCTCTTCCCAAAAGACCATTAATCACACGTGATTCTTTGAGTCTTGACAGTGAGCGCCAGGAGGCAACTTAACTGCAAGAGACAGACATCCCAGAAACAGCTTGTTCCGGTTCTCATTGAATGTCCTCAAACTCATTCACACACAGACCAACACACACATATTCTCATTCATATTCACATACACTCTCTCACATACATTCACAAATGTCCTCACTGCCACATTCACACTAATATTCACCGCACATACTCACATGCATACTCACACCCACACCCACACTGAACATACTGCAGGGGCGGGTGGGCGGAGGGTGGGGGCTGGTGGTGAACAAATTCCTTCCCATCCCCAATGTGTCCTAGTGTTCAGTGAACTGTCTGAAAGCAGTCGTGTTGCATACTGTAACACAAGAGTCTACTAAACAAACGGTGAAGGTGCCTGCACGCCAATGGTACAAGATTATCGCCCCTTGAGATTGGCAACATCTTTTGCGGCTGAGTAACAGCAATAAACTATCTGCTGTACAAGGAGAGGCAGTATTCTTGCACTACTGTGCGCAGCACTTTGTGCGTTCTCCAATTCATGGAAATGTTTTGACTAAAAGACAGCTTGTCCTACAATGGAAGTGTTGGCGAACATGCAAGCGAGGTCCTACAGGACAACTGTGCGTGGCGAGAAATCGCACCCAGGGTCTAGATTTACTCTATTAACTGGCATTTCAGAGTGTCCAGAATTTGGTAAATTCTTGAAACGGTCTTTAATTTTGAAGCCAGTTTTTTTTTGTAAGTTTCTTTTAAGAACTACTGAACCAACTGCAAAGTTAAGACGGATTTCAATAATTCGCCAAATTCTGGATGCTCTAAATTGCTCCATAAATAGAGTAAATCTAGATCCAGGTGGAATTTCTCCCCAGAAACATTTTTATTTGGGGGGGTTGGGGTGGGGGGGGGGGGGGCGGGGGCGGGCGAGAGAGAGAGAGCGCGCGAGGGGGAGAGATGGGGTGGTGGTTGGTGGATGGGTGGGTGGGCGGAGGGAGGGGCTTCTATACCAGATCATTCTGTCATGCAGAGGCTTTACGGTCATGCTCTGAGATATCCCAATCGTCAGGCACTGGGAGGTGGTGTCAAAGGCCAAGCAGAACTCAGAGAGATTCAGAAAGACTACCGACCAGCCAGCTGCTTCTCCTTACTCCGTCTCTTTTTTTCCATGCGGCGTAAACGCTTCTCCTCGCGGCGCTTGGCCTCCTCGACCTCCTGGTGCTTCCGGCACTTGTGGAAGTTCTCGACCACTACGCCCACGAACATGTTGAGCACGAAGAAGGCCACGATCAGCAGGAAGGAGATGAAGTAAAGGAGCATCCAGGGATTGTAGTTCATGACTGGCTGCCGAAGGGAAGAGAGGGTCAAGTCAATGCCATTGCATTTTACAAAAGCCAATAAAACTGGTTCAAACACAGTAGATTCAATTCAAATTCACTAATTCTAATCCTCTCATTCAAACCTTTACAAAATCTAATTGATCAGAAATAAAAGTGACACAGGACAACACAGTGTGGAGCAGAGCAAAGCTCCTCGGGGAGAAATTCTTATCCAAGCCCAGACGTATACAATTATCTTAGCATTTCAAAGTGCGGGGAATTTTGAGATCAAATGTTTTCACAGGCTAAGACCAGGTGAACTTCGGGGTTGCCGGGTTGATGCAGGATGGAAGAACATGCAGAGACATCACAGTACAAGGCCTGACTCTGGCAGGACTGCATTCCACTTGGAAATGATAGTGACAATTCAATTCCAACTTACTTGCTGATCCACTCCCACTGCATCCAAACCATCGTACATGATGTCAACCCAGCCATCCTTCGATGCGAGGACAAACAGGGACATCAGAGCCTGAAAACATGAACCTATTAGAAACTGCAACATTCCATTAATGATATCTTACTCACATGCTTATGGAATGGAGCGATGACAGTGCTGGGAAATTATTCACTGTCTCTAAAAAGGACACGTATCATTGCAACACCAAAAATAAATTCTCTCCTCTCTTCTTTTCTTGAAAGACCTTCAACTCGTTTTTTGTCCCTTCTGCTGGTATACGGACATTCCCTTTCTTCTCCAATCCCACTTCTTCTCCAGTACCCTTTCCCTGAATATATTTATTCAAGTCCTTTTTTAAAGTCCTCAATCAATTCTGATCCAGCCGCTACTCCAGCCAAATCCAACTATCCTCTGACAGAAAGCAAATTCCGAACTTCCATCTTTCACATTCCTAGTTATATTCATGCATTCATAAATATAATATACACCTTCATGCCTTCTTGTCTTCGAATCAATCATTAGCGGAAATAGCTCCTCACCAATTCCTCTTGATCCCTTTCATTATCGAAAACTCCATTATCATATTGCTCCTCGGGCTTCTCTGCTTCAACGGAAGGAAAACTCCCATCTTGACCAAACAGCCTCATAAGGCAAGAGAGATTCAGATGAAGAAGACTCTTTGGTCCATTTAATCTCATTCTTCTAGAACATCCAGTCATTCCCCCTTCGGAGCATCAAACTATTTCCTAACAAAGTCTAGTGTCTTGGAGTCAACCACCTTTCCTCTGATAATCTGTTCCAATCATCAATGGCCCTCTGTGTAAAAATAAACTTTGTGGTTTCTGTCCTGAAATTGCCTTTCACGTCCCTGAACCGTTCTCTCTTGCTCTGCTGGCTTACTGCATCTACAAGTAAGAATTGGACCTGGGAATCACAGTTTTATTTTGCTGACTGAAATAATTTTGCAAGTGACATGCAAAGCCTCATCATACCTGACCCAGATTGTCAAAGTTATACTTGTGTCGAGTCCACTTGTAGCTGGCTTGAAGGCAGTCTGATTTGTTTGTGACATTCCTGATGTCCTCTCCAACACAGAAGTAAAACTTGCCTTTGAAGAGCTGGAAGAGAGTGGTACATCCTTTGGAATCATATCAAAGCCAGGCACATTCATTAAAATAAACACTGCTCTGTTTAGCAGGAAGTCTAGCAGAATGAATGATTCTAACCCAATTGTGGGACCTTGTATTTTGGGGGGCAATTTTTGGTGAGCCTGGGTGTCCCTCTGGGCACTCCATACTGGACAAATAGAAATGTCCATGTGGAACTCTCAGTAGTTTGGCTTGGAGACGCGTAGGTACGGAGTTAGGTTTCTGTGTATGTCAGACACCCGGCTAACAATTTTTTTAATAAAATAATAATAATCCTTTCTTGTCAGGAGGATGTCTTAACTCGAATCACAGGATTCATTTCAAACTGCAGTGAATGTAATTTGTAGGCAAACGCAGCAGCCAATGTGTGTACAATGATTTCCTGCAAACAGCCATGAATTCATGCGAGTGACTAATTTTTATCTGGGGGATATTGGCCAGGACACTGGGAGAGAGAAACTCCTTTCTCTTTTCAAGCAGTGCCACAGAATGATATGAACAGGCAGACGGGACCTTGCCTTATCATTTTGTCTAAAGGGTGGCACCTCTAATAATGCCGTGGTTCAGCCTGAAGTGTTAGTCTAGACCATGAGCTAATGTAGAGCTTGAACCCACAACATTCTGATTCAGAGACACGAGTGCTAGGCCTGAGCCAGGCTGACTGAACAAGTATTATTAAAGGATTATTATTTCATTAACTTCTGAGATAGTGACGCTTGGCTTCAGCAAAATGTCTCTCCACATTGGCAAACCTGAACTCCTAGGATCCCAAAGATGATGAAGAATGCACAGCAGATGACCACAATGTTTCCAATCGGCTTGAGAGATGACATCAGTGTTTCGACCACAAGTTTAAGACCTGGTGCTCGGCTGATTACTCTGTGGAACATAAAAGTGGAAGAGTTTATCTGTGGGATAGTTTTTTGATTCACAGGAGCAGGCCCGACCTTCCTGATTCAAATACCAAAATTGTTTGCCAACTGTTGGTTACTCCACATCTAATTTTTCTCTCCTGCACCAGGCTTAGTGAACCCATAAACCCCATCCTCACCAAGCTCAGTGAGCTTAACCTCATCCTTGGCAGGCTCGGTGTGTCCATCACTCCCGTCCTCACTAGGCTCAGTGAGCTCATTAACCACATCCTGGTCAGGCTCCACTGGTTTCCCATCCCTCAGTGGATCAACTTTAAGATCCTCATTGCTCACAAGACAAGCCTCTACAACTTGCCCCACCCTTATCTCTATCACTTCCTGCTGTCCTACTCTCCTGCCAAATCCCTCCGTTTTGCCAAGTCTGGCCTGCTTCATGTCTCCTGGTCTCCCCCCAATATCAGTGGGCGAGCATTCAGCCACTTCCGCCCGCTGGAATTCTCTAACAAAATCCCTCCGCCGCTCCCTCCCTTTATGCTTCCACAAGCTGATATTATTGAAACGAAACTGCTGAGCAATGTTAACCCTCTGCGTGCCAACCATTCCCCCACTTCTGTTTCTCGAGCCATAAAGACCGCCACAAAGATTCTCAGAGTACTGCGCATTCAGGTTTGAGAACCACAAGAATATTTTGTGCTTTTTTTTTCATTTCCAGGAATTTTCTGAATGGAAACCACTGCAATCTTTCTCTATTAGATTATTATATGTCAGTAAAATGCAGAGTATTATTTTCTCAAATGCTCTGCTTCTCCTTGTAACAACCGTGACCAGGAGAAACAAATGTCTGTTGGTAAGATGGAAAAAAAATGGCAACATCCATATGATATTGTGTATAAAGGGAAAATGGTTTAATTGGTGAAAGATATGAACACCACCACCAGCCAATGATAGTTTTGCTACAGAACCTATAACATTGAACCATCTCAAGAGTGTTTCACCTACGACTGTTTGTGTCGTAGATGAAGCATCAAATTGTGCGCAATTGACAGCCGTGTTTCACCCACAAAATACATAGCCAATCCACTTCACAGTATATTCTGTGAAGCGCTTTGAGTCGTCTCAAAGACGTGATAAGGCACTATATCAAATGCAAGGATTATTATTATTATTATTATAAACAATTTACTGCTACGTTTGCCTACAAAAGCACAGTCACTACACTCGGCAGCGAATCTCTACGAGGAGCTTTGAGGTGTTTTACTGCTATAGGTGCCGTATCAAACACAAACATTACTACGAAGTTTGTTCTCCTGGTGCGAGCTGCCTGTAATCTTTCTCTCTGTCTGTAGGGGTCGCTGTCTCCTTCTTTCGTTTGATCCAGGCTTGCAAATGGAAGGCAGCTGTCCAACAATACTGGACGTGTAGCATTCAGCCTGCTCTCCAGCCGTCAGTTGGCATTATTCCGTCCAGCAGGAGACTCCTAAATATAGGGCTGAGCAACATGCTTCTAGAACTGCAAAGATTTCTCTGTTCGGTTCGATCAGCTCTGCGCTCTTTAGATACCCAAGCAGAGGATGAACAATACGATTGGTTGCTTTGTGAATCAAACTGAACAACGATAGGAATCCTTCCACAAAAGCCCTTTTACTGAGCACCTCCAGGAGGGACTAGGGGTGGATGTGCTGAAGTCCTTCAGTGTTTGGACTCAGATGTCCAAGTTTGCCAGGCCATGCAGAGGAAGCCTCTGTCATGAACCACAAGTGGGTCACGCTGATGGGGTGGTTGGAGGGGGAAACAGGACTCTGCTCCGGACAGGCCATGCACTTGTGTGATGGGTGACTCACTCTGGTTACCGAGTTTCGCCCACAAATTTCAGTCGATTCACTTTATAGCATATTCTGTGAAGCACTTTGAGACTTGTCAATGACGTGATATCAAATGCAAGGATTATTATTAGTAGTAGTAGTTGCTGTTAGCAACTCGTGACATGAAGCATTCCAGATTACACCCCCTTATGTCTGGTTCACTTGCAACCCACTGAGTTTAAGACATTTCCACAATTCTGAGTTATCTTAAAATTGTAAGACAAAACGGTCTCAACAACTAAGTCTAGGTGGAATTTTGGGCTTTGGTGACCAGACGCCAATTATGTCCTTCATGTTTATTCATGAAGGCAACAGTTCTTCTCATGTTTATTCAGAAGCCTTGAGACCTGTCCCACATTTATTAAAAAAGACGGATTTACCTCCTGTTTACCCAGAGAGCTGCTACTCGTTCATCTGTCCATCAGCCAAATATAATCTAATATACAGATAGAACTCAAGAAGTGAGTCAAGACGTACCCTGCTCACTTCTACTGCACAACAAGTTAAGAAAAGAGAAATAAGCAAACATTATTTTTTAAAAATAAGCTCCAGACGGTGTATGTTAAAGAACAACAAGATGTCTGGCATTGTGTTCAAGGCAGTAATTCAATCTCACTGTCCCGATAACGTCACCAACCATGAGAGAGAAGCTGAAGAGCTTTACTAATGTCAGCAGAGTTTCGTGGTTGAATTAGTTCCTCAAACTTAGTGCCAGACATTTGTTATTCCTTACAATACAAAGCTCACTGCTCCAACTCATGCAAAGCACTGCAGCCCATGTTCTTTCCTGTACCAGTCTCAACACACACATTCTCCCCATCCTTGCCAGGCTCCACTGGTTAATAGTAATGATAATAATAATAATAATAATAAGCCTATCATGTCATTGAGACTTCCCAAAGCGCTTTACAGAATGTATTCCAAAGTGGATTGACTGCGTATTTTCTGGGCAAAAGGCAGAAGCCAATTGCGCACAGCAGTGAGTGACCAAATGATTCTCAGGTGCCCCTGCAGTTCGAATGCAAGATCCTTGTACTACCCTTCGAATCCCTTCATAATCTTTCTGCTTCCCATAATCTCCTCAATTTCTATTGGACTCTTTGGCCCTTCGCTCTTCTGCCTATTAATCTTCCTCTCCCTTTCCCACTATCGGTAACCAACAATGCCCCAGATATAACTGGTCATTCGCTTCATAACTGTTTGTGTGTAAATGTGCTGCTGTAGTTCCTTACAGGATACAGTCACTATACTTTTTTTTCCCTTCACTTCAAAGGCTTATCCTTTACCTTATTAAATCTTATGGTCTCAGCCTCAATAGCCATTTTGGTAAATTGTTCCAAGTCCAATAATTCCCTATGTAAGAATAGTTCTTCCCAACTCCCCCTTAATCCTCCCAATGACAGTTCTGAGTTCAAGTCTCCTTGTTACTGATTCAGCCACCAGCGGGATATTTCATGGTCTATAAAACTGAGTTCTACACCGAGGAAAGCTTTTAACAACTAAATCATCAGGGGAACTATCTGCAGCTTATTTTTCTTCAAAATGAAACATTTTTGTTCTTGAGCCCAGCAAAATTGGTCTCTATAAAATTTTAATGATCGAGTTTCAAGATATATTCTCTGAAGAATTTTTATTCACCAGACAAATTTCACTTACTTAAAGGGAACGGTCACTGTTCTTATGTGAACTGGATTACCAATGCACAAGATGATATTGTCAGATGCAGTGCAGCAATGTTTGCCTCCAAAAGCACAGTCACTACACTTTGCAGTAAACCCTGTAAAGTGCTTGGAGGCATCCTCCCGACATGAAAGGTGCTATATAAAAAGCAAGGATTATTACCGTAACTAGATGTCCGCAGAACGGATGTAAAATGTGACATTTGATGTGCCAGTTATCACATTGAAAATTGCCATCAGTCAACACCAATTTCTGCTTCCCTCCGTCATGGTTAGGGCCCAGAGAAAATTTAATTTGTCCTTCAGATGTTAAGATTGTGCAGTGGCCATAGATAATGTCTTAACCACATTTAGGTTGAGCTGGGCTCCCAAGTACGAATCAAATGATGCCGTCAGTGTCTGAGCATTCTCTGCGGCTGGAGTCTACAATGGTGGCTGCAAAATAGCTTTATGGTAACTTCAGGCTTAACCATTCTATTGAAGTTCGGGAGGTGGTGTGGATAGTTTATTACCCCCCCCAACCCCCACCACCTCCCGCCTTCTCTGTTATTGACTGGTCCAACTAGCACTCTTTGGTGGTGTAATAATCAGTCCATCCCATGCCAGATTTTTCACCCCATTATAACCACGCCATTAACCACCACTCCAATGGCTTGAAATTTCACCTAGTTTTAGCCCCGAGGCCATTTTGTCTGAAAGTTCAAGATTACAGGATTGTGGAAAATCCCGGTATTTTTCAGGGCGAGAGGTTCAACCCAAAACTGCCCGCGGTACTCGATTGGGATTGTCTGGTTCGGTTTGTGCCTGTCCAGCCTGCGACTGTCGAATTAACATTTTAGAAGTAGACCGTGATTACAGAAGATAAGTAAAACAAGCTTGCCAAACATTAACATTTAAACCCGAAGACTGTCAAACGAATATTTAACACTAAACATATGCTTGTAAAAGCACATAAAAGGTATTGTTTTTTTGCCAAGGTAAGAATACGAGGGTTGATGCCATTATTATTTGGGGCGTTTACCAGAGGCGAGTAATTGGGTGGATTAGCTCACACTCTTCTTAAAAAAAGACACCTCAGACGGCGCCTTCTAAAGATGCATAGATACCGAGAAGGATGGAAAATGAAAGGATTATAACAGACCCCACCAGCTCTCAAAGCCAGTAGAGTAAAAAATTATTAAATCGACATAGTTACAGCAGCTTAAAATCTCAGATCCGTCTTTGGTCAAAGTCATAGGAACACAGGAACATAATAATAATAATAGTTGCATTTGATAAAGCACCTTCTCACATCTTCGAGACGTCTCAAAGCGCTTCACAGGATATACTGTAAAGTGAATCGACTGTGTATATTTGTGGGCAAAACTCGGCAGCCGATTGCACACAGCAGAGTTGAGGAAGAACTTCTTCACTCAAAGGGCGGTGAATGTATGGAACTCACTACCCCAAAGGGCTGTTGACGCTCAGTCCTTGAACATATTCAAGACTGAGAGAGATAGATTTCGTATTGCAAAAGGGATTAAGGGATATGGGGATAAGGCAGCGTCAGGTTATTAGCTGGAGTTAGATTAGAAGATCAGCCATGATTGAATGGTGGGGCAGAGGCTCGAAGGGTCGAATGGCCTACTCCTGCTCCTACATGTTATGTTATGTTATGTTATGTTATGTTAGCAGCGTCCCACAAACACTTGTGGGTTGAGTGACCAAATTGTTTTTTTTTTAGGAACAAGTCCACGTGAAAAACTCGAGATCGACGTCTACCTGAGAGGACGCAGTGTCCGCAGCAGCCGCAGGACTCGGAGCATTCCCAGGATCTTGGTGCCGCTGTTGGAAACCATTGAGACTAGAATATCGATGACGGAAATCATGACCAGCCCTCCATCCAGGATGTTCCAGGTGCTCTTCAGATAGCTCCGCTCGCCGAAGCACAGCCCCAGCGCCACCAACTGGCAACGAGAGCGAGAAACAGCCATGAACTCAACACACTTAGATTTTCCATTTCACACACAGAAAAAATCCACCACATCTGCTCGATTTATTGACCAATTTGTAGGTGAACACAACAGCTGTTTTGTGCATTGTGAAGTTTCATGAAATGAACCAGTTTATCTGGAGGATTGTTGGCAAGGACTTTGATGTTACTTAGGCAGCCAAATTCAGACTTGTACTTTAAGATTAAGGCTGGGGGGTTCCTTCAGTATAGAAAACGACGACCTTTTCAGCACAAAAGGAGACCATTTGATCCGTCGTATCCATGCCATTACTGCCTGGCCATTTATTAATCACAATTTCCAACTCTGTCCCATATCTCTAATGTACAAATAGCATGAAAGATGCAGTCTAAATAGTGTTTGATCCATCACCATTTGTATTGGAGTCCCACTCCTAATAACATTGATACGAACCCTCACAGGTAAAACAAGATGGAAGTGAATTCAGTTCAACCCCTCTGGACATTTTCAGCATTGGATAACCTGAGAATTTTCAGACCTCTCTTTACTATTTATTATTAAAGAGTTAGCAGCCAGCTCTTTTATAACATTAAATAGATCACTCAAATTTGACATCAATGAGATCAGTGTCATTTCTTCACGGGGCCTCAATGTGATGTGGTGCAATATATGTTCCTAAACTACCCCTTCCAAGTCAACTGTTTTGAGCTGAACATGTTTGCAGAGACATAATCAGGTATCTGTTCCACTCCGCTGCTGAATCATGCACTGAGCGGGTGAGCAGGCAGTCACTGAGTCAGTTGTGGAGTCAGTGATCTGATCATTGGGTGCTACTCCCTCAGGCTTACCTTCACTGCCATCTCAGTCAGGAAGATCACTGTGAAAATGTAGTTTGAAAACGTCAAGAAGATTCGCTCCTTTAAGACAAAGAGGGGATAAAACACACACGTGAAAATGAAATTAGTCACCCCGTCCATTTAAGTGCTCCAAAACTCTACCCCGCGTGAAGAGCCCTATATAAATGCAAGCTATTGTCGTTGATAGTGCTGCAGACACCGTGATTGGCTCCCGTCAGCGCCTCCACACCTCAGGCATTGGCAGCATCGCCATCAAAGGATGCACACTCCACCTCACGGAGCCATTCCAGAACCTTGGTATCTTGTTTGACCCTCAACTGTCCTTTCTATCCCACATCTGTACTATGACCAGTTCTGCCTTCCCCATCTCTGCAGTGTAACCCAGCTCTGCCAATGCCTCTCCCCTCAGCCCACTGAAACCCTCACACATGCATTTATTACATCTAGGCTTGAATACACCAACTCCTTGCTTGTTGGTCTTCCCAACTCTTCCTTCCACAAGCTGCAAATCATCTAGAATTCTGCAGCTAGTTTACTGACCCTATCACCCCCACCCTCGCCCCTCCACTGGCTCCCTATCTCCCAGAGGATAGAGTTCAAAATCCTTGTCCTCGCCTTCAAGGCCCTCCATAGCCTTGCTCCTCCCTACCTCTGTGACCTGTTAATCCCATATCATGTTCCCATACCAGCGTGTTCCACACCTCCCACCCAGCCCATCCCACCTTTGTCAGTCGGGCCTTCAACTCCTCTGCCCCCACCCTTTGGAAGAGTAATAAGCTGTACTCTATTGTACTTGGTTATATTAAATAGAAAATAACAGGGAATGTGTTGGGCACAGGAACGTATGAGGCTCTCAACAGCAGAAGTCCAAATGGCTTTTCCACTTACCTAAATCTCAGTCAGTGCCACATCTTTGAAAACATTCCCAGCTATTTTGGATTGTTTACAAGAACAGGACAGGAATGAGAGTAGTCATTCCACTCATTTTGGGATGTTTAGATTTATGCTCAGTGCCTACTCAAGACTGTTTGCATCTCTCTCCTGGCTTGGCACCCAGCCTGAAATTCTCCCCTGGAGCCGATTCCAAAACACTTATTTATCAAGTGCTTCAACTGAATTCACAATTTCTCCATTAGTTAGAAGTCCATTTATTGTGTGACTTAACAACGCTAAATACAAAATCGTATGCACTCCACTGGGATAAAAATGTGAAAAGGAACAATGTGAAAGTGCAATAGTTAACTCCAGTAGATGTCAACAAGATCACAAGATCGGTCTGGATGAAAAAGGATCTCATCCCTTCAGAACAGCCACCCTATCGATCCCCCCCATCGCTCCATCAAACTGCGCTGACATCTATTAGGAAGTTTCTGATAGAAAGGCTGAGACCACATTGCCTGCAATCTGGACTCTTCCCCCACCTCCCTCCCACCCCCCCTCCCCACCGCATACGGGCTTACCAACACAACAGCGAGAGTAGATTAATGACAGAAAAATGCTGGTTAGCACAGCCCTGCTGAAAGGCAGCCCCATTACATGCTAACTCAACTTATTACAGCTTGAACCTCGTTTTGTGATTAACTGCAGTTTTCTTGCCAAAGAGGCAATTTTGAAAGATTTGTCCAGCCGTCTCAAAAGCTGGCTCTCTGTGGGAGGATGAACATAATGGAAGAGAGAGCATCTCAGAAGCACTTATTATAAGCTTTAAAAATGGCAAAAGGCAGACTACACGTAAAGCTCTTCAAAGTGAAATGAAGATAGGCGCTTGGAAAGAGGCTGATCCAACAATGACATGGTGGAAGACCGATAGAAGAAGGAAGTCACCATTAAATCTTACATATTTTGAGTTACTTAGATTGATATGGCATGGAAACAGGCCACTCGGCTCAACTAGTCTGTTCCACATGAGCTCTCCCCCCACTCCTCCTATTCCCTCTTTTATAATCATCTATTCCCTTCTCCCTGATATATGCCTCAAGCTTTCTCTTAAATACCTATTTGCTTCCCATAGCTTTCAGCGGCGAGATCCACATTCTCACCACCCTCAGTGTGACAAGAGTTCCCCCTAATCTCCCTATGAGATCTATTACTGGTTATCTTATATTTATGTCCTCTTTTGGACTCACTGAAGTTTGTGAAAAAGAGTTAAGACTGAATTTAAGAGTTTGCAATGATTGTCACAAGGTGGTTTGGAGAGGGTACACACTCTCAGTCATTGAGTGTAGGTTTACTAACTGTATAGAGAGTATAAATAAAATCCTCACTCACTTCAAGTCTGTCTGTGGGACATTGCTGTGCACAAATTGGTTTCTGAGTTCACTTACAAATACAGTCACTACAATTAACAGTAATTCCCTGTAAAGTGTTTAGGTGTTCCAATATCACAAACACAAAGATTATTATAATTGTTGTTGTTATGGAAAGCTAAGGATTATTTTTTCTTCTTCTTTCTCTAACTCGCAATCAGTCTTTAGTGGAGTGTTTGTCTCTTTCTCTGTTGGATCTCAAACCCTGGCTGCTGTTACTTTAAGACAAGGATAACTGGGTGAAGAGTCTAAATGAAACTTTGTTGGCCAAGCTGCCATCATCTGCAAGCAATTAACTAACACTCGCTCTGTGTGAGCTCAGGACTGCCTCTGGCCCAAAAATGCAGCGTGCTGTATATCAGAAAAAGCAGACTTTAGAGGCTTGGCAGCCCCTACCAAGCCTGCGTGCTGCCGATGGAGCTTTCCCCATAACACACAAAGAAAACTATTAAAGGAATTTTGAGACAAGGTCTCTGCCAAACTGAGAGCTGGCGTGCAATCCAACCCTATCCTCCTACTCTGAGTTGGTTCTCTTGACGGTAATTCTTTAAGGTTGATTCCATTTGAAGTTAGTAAATGGAAGAAGATAATGTGGATTGAAACATGATCTTTGCAAACCCGATCGGGGAATCGTGACTTGTGATTTACGAGGATTTACAAAGATGTGCAAAATGGCGGATTGCAAGTCCCAAGCTTCCAAAATCTGAGGAAAGGCTATCCTCTTCTCACTGTGGCTGAAAGTCCATTGAGAAATTTGGAAAGTTCGATAGGCAGCATTTTTCATGTGGTAGTTAGAACCATGGCAAATCATAGTACAAGAGGCCAACCAGCCTGGCTCGTCATTAAGGACACAGACTACAGAGTTGTGGATTCTTTGAAACTTGTGTAGGGAAGAGCTCAGGACTCTGATATGCAGAGCATTGAAATATTATAATAATAATGCTTGCATTTAATATAGCGCCTTATCACGTCGTTGAGACGTTTCAAAGCACTTCACAGAATATTCCGGGAAGTGAACCGACTATATATTTTGTGAGTGAAATAGTCGAGTCTGGAGGCAAAGAAGGTGTGGATGAGGGCTCCGGTAATGTCGGAGATGGCAATGTTGCAATGTTCAGGGTAGTAAGTTTGGTAAGAGCACGGATGTTGGTAAAGGCTCCACACTGAGGCAGTGATGCCTGACTCCATTATTTTCAGCAAAACACAGGGTGACCCGCTGGGCATTGACTTGATTGTGATCCTTTAAGACATTTTAACATGTAAATAAAATAAGCCATCTCCCCTTTATTTTTCTTCCAATGCACGTTTTCCCTTTGACCAGATGTTTTTGGTCAGGAACATCTGGTCAGCTTGAGATATTGTGAATTACTGCTATTAAATAAAATTCATATATTTTTGAAGACTGGCTCTTAAGTTTAAACTGAAATCAGGCGCAAACAAGAGAGACGCTGATCACAATGGAAGAGGTGCTGCGATCAGCAGCTTTCTCTTGCTTACTAAAGAAAGTCTGAACGGAGTCCTAGCCAATCTCCGGCAACGATTGGCAAGGGAATTCCTGTATTGATCTTTTAGTGTAAATCAATGAAGACAAAATGACTTGAACCGAATGTAGAAGCACTATTGCGTTACTTTATAAGCCCTTCAAGAACTATATTCCAGTTGCAGCCCGGCTCAGTTGTGATCTTGCCTGTGGATCAGAATGTTGGGAGTTCCAAAGCCTCACTGCATTCGCCAGGCTCAGAATCCAAGCTGACACTCTGGTGGAGTAATAATAATAATAATTTGATTATAGCACTTTTCACGTCTTCTAGACATCTCAAAGCGCTTCACAGAATATACTGTAAAGCGAATTGACTGCATTTTTGTGGGCGAAACGCGGCAGCCAATTGCGCACAGCAGCGTCCCCACAAACAGTCGTGGATTGAAGTGACCAAGTTATTATTGTTTTACTTTCTTGAGGGATTATTATCAGGGGTGTGGAGTGTGGAAACTTGCCCAAGGTTTCGCCCTGACCTGCCGGGCATCAAACCCAGGTCTCTCACTTGAGAGGTGAGTGCTCTAACCACTGAGCTACAGGACTCCATCATTACTGAGATGAGTACTGGGCGGGGGGGGAGGGGGGAGTGCTGTGTGATCAGAGGTGTCGTCCTTCAAGTTGAGCTGTTAAACTGAGGACTGCTGTCTGCCTGTTCCGGTGGACGTTAAAAATAACATTATCTGAGAAGCCAGACTCTTCCAGTGCCTTGGCTAAAAATCGTCCACATTAATTGGTCATTTACCTCACCACTGTTTGTGGTGTTGTGGAAACGGTTAGTGACCTGGTTTAAAGAGAGATGCACACAAGGATCTTCATGCTCTGGATGCTAAATTAGTGATCTGTGACTTCAGTCTTGTTAATGGGAAATTGTACGACAAAGACATCAGAAGATTGATATTGATCAGTGGCTGATAGATCTCACGGAGAGAGAGAGAGAGGGGGAGCTGAGAGACAGAAACTGTGAAGTACCATCTGCCTTATGATTCAGGTTGACAAACCCCCGCTGTCGCTACTTCAAAGAAACACAGAGTCTTTCTCCCAGTTTATATCACTCCCAGAATCAAATTAATCAGCTGTTCGTCTTAGTGCTGTTTTATGGGATGTCGGAGCCACAGACTTGGTGCCACATTTGCCTCCATAACAACATTCATGACAGTTCAATACAATTAGGTTTTGCAAAGCGCTTCCAGACATGATTTTTGAGTGAAAGGCGCTGGATAGACCCAAGTTATTATTATTATTATCATTAAAAACAGAGAGCCGGAGAGTTGAGGTTGAGAGAGAGTTGAGAGAGTACAGCAGACAACGGGATGGGAGGGATACAATGAGAAGCAATGCGAAAGCGTGAGACAAAGGGAGAGATCAAAGATGGGAAGGGAATGAGTTGCAGGCATGTCTGTTCCAGGAGGCAGCTGGGTCCTGCCTTTCTGCACCAATATCGGGGCCGCTCACTTATCTCTCACACGCAGCCACCGAATTAAAAAGCTGTGGGAGCATTCTACTGAACTTCAGCTATTTCACATGGTCCCTATTTACAGAGTGGGCCGGACGTCAGAAATCACTCCCAAAAAATGTTAAAACTAGAATGTGCAGACATATAATAACTTATACATTTCTGCCACCACAGGATTTTTTTTTATTCAAACGCTTATAAATTTATGCTGTGTCAAGCGTGGATATGTCAAACTGACATGTCAATTGGCTGCGGGTCAAAATAATTGATGGGTAGCTTACCTTGGAGCTCGTTGCAGAGCAAATCACATTTAATAAAGCCTTTCTTACTTGCAGCATTGTACAAAATGTTATTAACGTGACATGATCTTCTCAAAGTCATAGAAACAGGTAAGTGACCAATTAATATGGAGAACTGTTGGCCAGGCAATGGGAGAAAGTATGTTGTCATTGGATCTTTAGCAAATAGACTGGACTTTGGTTTTATGTCTTATCTAAAAATGCAGCGTTCCCCTGTGTTGGATTGTTATGAGCTCTAACTAACCGCTTCCCAATCTGACATTACAGCAAGAAATTGCTCATAGTTCACCACTAAATAGTGTTAATCTGACTCTTGCTGAGACTTGTGAACTTCAACTTCTTACTCTGTTATTCTAACGCTGCAAAGTTAGTCTCCAGAGTGAAAGCAGCAAAACAAATCCCACCAACACTTAATTGGCCTAGAGGAGGTAAAAGTGAAAGAGAAATAACTCAGAGGATTCAGCCTGAACAATGGCACAGAAAAGGACAAGAGCCAGAGGGAAGAGCAATAGAGGAGTGAATGCAGTCTGAAACTAGAAAGAAAAGAGATTTTTAAAGTGAAGCCAAGTCTGATTTACTATTTACACACAATTGTAGCCCCGGGGCTCAAGTTCCCGAAAAGGATGGTGGATTTGCTATCAGATAGCACGTTGTGAATTCCAAAGCCATGAATTCATTCACCAAAACAAATCGCAGTTACTCGGCAACTGAGCCTTGTTGCTGTTCTTGTTAAAGTCTCTCCACCACGCATTGTGGCTGTATTTTAACAATGTTGTGTTCGCCTGCACAATACACAGTCACTACACTTTTACAATAAAATCCTGTGAAGCCCTGTGTGAAGGCTTCCCGGCACATAAGGCACTTCATCAAACACAAGAATTTTTAGTCAAGGGATTTCCTGTATTCTACAGGAAATTAAAAAAAGATGTAAAAGAGATGCAAGGGTTTGGCACAGGAAAGTAAAATGGCAAATTATTGAATGGAAGAGGTTTTCAACTCCCCCATTATTTTACTTGTGGCATTTCTTATGCTTAGAACCTAACACAGGGCCAAGTAAGTGCTCAAATGGCATCAGAGGCTGACTGAGTGTTTAAGAAATACTTAAATGATTGAATTTCTTTCCTCTTTAGAAAAGTATCATTGCAGCAGTTTCCATGCTTTATATATGTTTTACTGCACTGCAGAGTTCCTAAGACAGACTAATGACACTGAGCTGTGAGAACCCAACACAGCAATAAACCCTGTGGGAAGGGGGAAGATTTCTTGCTATGAGGTGCAATTGTGATTTAAACGTTATTCTAAAATGATAACAATCTGAACCTGGTTTGCATTCCCTGTCTTGTACATTGGAACTCATCCTGTGGATCTCTGGTATATATGCAGCTGAGGTTGAATCAATCACTCGTTCACAGGTTGAGTTTAAGCTCCACACAGGATGACGCAATCAATGAACTGCTTCCAATCAATCCATGATCTGCACACGCACTGGCTCCATCCACCGCCCACAAGTTGCTAAAAATAGCCATCTTTGTGTTACTTGCTTATAACCCGGCTCGGTAGTTTTGATCATCGGCGCACTCCCAGCAACTGGGCAGAAATACCACCCAGGTCCACGCATACTCTATTCACGCAGCATTTCAGAGTGTCCAGAGTATAGCACGTTGTTGAATTCAGTCTGGATTTTGAAGCCGGTTTTCCGCAGGTTTTAAGCGAAACTTGTAGAAAACTGAAGTTCGTTTTAGAGTTCAGTTTGTCTGTACCTCAGCAAAATTTGTGGCAAGATTGGTTTACTGCCGGCACATACGATTAGCGTTAAATTTGGGTTATTACTTTCCATTCGGATGGAGGTCGTGGGCAGGGTTACCCACTGACACCCTCGGACACTAACCTGAGCAGATTCTTCTCACAATAACTGTAATCACTTTGCTCAGGACTCCTTCTCAATGGATAAACAGGACTCCAGTCTCCTGGAGCAGAGAAAATGAGCACATTTATCCTGTTTATGCAGTTTCTAGACTAGTGGTGAATGATAACTCGGAGATGACTGCCCAAAGCATCTTCCACTCACTTTTTGGGAAGTCTAAACAGTCGATGATTAAAACTAGCGATCCAGGTTATGATTGAATACCCAATCCTTTCGGCGTGCAGAAATTTAGCATTTTGTGGGTTTTACATTAAGTTCATTACCCAGCCTTAAACATTCCACAGTATTACACCTACATCCATTAAACTTCAGTGACCATCAGCCACTGATGGTTGTGTGGGAGGGGGTTGATTATTGATCTGACGAGCTGTAATGAAAAGTTTGAGAAATAAACTTACTGCACTTTTAGGGTCAATCTTGGGCCTCTCCATCGCAATGGTGATACAGTTCAGGAAAATGATCACCAGGACTATGTGGTCAAACATCTTGTGAGAAATGATTTTGCTGCATGTGATACGGAACCTGAAAAAGACAAGCAAGGGTGAGCCAATTCCCCTCCACTCAGCCCCAAGCTCCTCTACGATCCAGTGACAGAACCATTTACTGTTCAGAAAAAAGCCTGCTAACTGGCAAAACTGCTTGGAGCAGGCAAGCTCACTTTATTCCAGTCTCAGCACGCTCTGTACAGAGACACGTGCCAGGCTCGATGAAATGTAGCTTAAATAGCCACAGGAAAGCACCCATGGACAGAAAGTGTGCCTCCTGTAGAGGATTTGGTCCATATCATGCTGACTCCCAAGAACTCTGCGCCAGTAAAATCCCAGTCAAGTCACAATCCTGTGAGTCAATTTGATTGATAGACAACAAGGACAACTTACATTTATATAGCATCCCTCATGCAGGGTAGGGTTCCAGAGCACTTAATATACAATCATCAGCACAATCCTTTGTGAAGGCATTTGTGGAGACAAACCAATAAGATTCAGTAATTTTATCTGTTCAAGTGGATCCACTGTTCATTTCTGTCCTCGCTCTTGCTTTTGAGGTTTTCATTATAAAAAACAATCATCCCCCCCCCACCACTCCAATTATTATTTTACCTTGAGCTAACCACACCAGGTGTTTGACTTTCTTACCTGGACTGAGGTGGAAAGAGATAGAGGGACCACTTCGAGCGTTCCTTGCAACAGGTCGGGAGTTTAGAGTAGATCCATGCCCGCAGACGCCCTCCTTTACTCTATGGGACAACAAGATGCACTTTAGCTTGGGAGGAGTCAGGGTGTTGCTGTGGTTCAGAAGACGGGTCTATTGTTATTGGTCAGCCAGGTGTCTGACCCGCGTGGAAACCCATCGCCATCGCAAAAGTCTATAAACCATACTATCTCATAATCCTCGGGTTTAACACAGTGCCTCATCGTGTCATCGAGGCTTCTCAAAGCGCTTCACAGAATGTATTGAGGAATACCATAAATATTGCCCCCATTACTTTATGAATCCAATCGTTCACAGAACTTGGCTGGTGACCACCCACCAACTCACCGTGTCATCTTCCTCCTCATTAGTCTCCGACTCATTCCTCAGCTCATCCATGTGGAACCGGTGCAGCTGGGGGGCAGGGGAGGTTTTACCGTTACACTCCTGGTGGTCCAACGGTGGGGCTCGGCTGCTGTGGATGCTGGGAGATCGGTGATGGAAGGGCACCTGGAGGGTCCCGGGCATATCGAAGGATCCCCTGTTCTCCAGAGATTCCATTCGCTGAGTAAACGAGCCCCTGGCACTTCCGGCCCGACTAACCCTCTCATCCTCCGATCCCTCACCCTCGTCCGAGCTCTCCTTCCCGTCGTTTGAGAGCAGGGACTTGCGCTCGCTGGACTGATGCTTGCGTTTCAGGCTCGGGGCTCGGCCCAGGCTGTTCCAGCTCGATCGGCGGCTGTTCCAGCTGCTGGCCGTGCTCCACGGGGCGTAGGGAGAGCTCCGCGCACTGGTCTAGGGGGAAAACAAGCACCGTGACGGGCAGGCCATCAAAGCTCTGCCAGACCCTCCCTGGCACTGCCGCTCAGATCACATAATAATAACCATTGTACTTGATATAGCACCTTATCACGTCTTCGAGACGTCTCAAAGCGCTTCACAGAATATACCGTAAAGTGAATTGACTGTAAATTTTGAGGGCGAAACACGGCAGCCAATTGCGCATGGCTTGAGTGACCAAATTATTTTATTTTTTTCTGTGGAACGTAATTTCGGAAGGAAATGTTTTTTTTAAGTCGGCCTGGAGTCTGCCTGACACACTGCGGAAATCCATCGCCGTGCTTAAGAGTATCCAAACCAGACTGAGACTTCCATGCATGCCAATTACACAAGAAAATTCCTGTGTAATTTCCTTGTGTGGGCATCCTGTGAAATGGAATGCACTCTCTCCCTCTCTCTCTCTTTCTCTCTCTCTCTCGCTCTCTAAAGGGACTCCAGTCTAAGTCTGAAGAGTATTAGGCTCAGGTTAGCAAGAGACAAGACTTGGGGACCCTAGAATGTGCATTGGTGTTTCCCTGGAGTTTAACCAACTAAAACCGTATAGCTTGCCATTGAGAGCGCTGTCTGGCAAGCTTCCCAGCGCCCAGCTAGGACCACCCTACGATAGGACTTTGGCGTGCAGAGTGCTTCACAGAAACAGAAGAACTTACTGGTGATTTTTGATCATGGTGATTGGGATCGATGGAAATGCTGCTTCCTCTGCGGGACTCGCTGCAGTATTGCCCAGCCTCACCAAACAGTGTGCCCTTTGGTGTTGGCATGGGGGTCGCGTTGGTGTGGGTAATGAGAGGCGGAGTCAGACTCTTCCCATCCACATGACCGTTCAATGCCATCACTGTTGGGGATAAGGATAAATGTGGTGCTCAGCACAAGGGACGAACATAAGACCATAAGACGTAGGAGCACCAGTAGGCCATTCAGCCCCTCGAGCCTGGCCCGCCATTCAATAAGATCATGGCTGATCTTCTAACCTAATTTCATTTACCCGCCCTATCCCCATATCCCTTAATCCCTCTATCCTTTAGAAATCTATCAACCTCACTTTCCTAATGATGATTTAGCTGGTCCGTGTTTCCAAACAGTGTTAGTGGAAAAGAATCCCGATTACTGCTCCAAGTCCCAGATGACCTACGTTGGTTGATTGACCATCAGTGCCCAAGAGCATTAAAAGCCAATCTGGCTCAGGTGTCGTACCAGATCACCAACCCATCGCAAAAAGCTGATTGACCTCCTATCTCCCTTCACTGTATCACCATGAAGCCAGTTTAACTCCATACAGACTTCACTTAACACCTCTCCCTGAGGTAGCTTTATAGTTCAGCTTTATTCTAACCAATTGTTTTATCAAATGAGCCGGTGGAAAATCCAACAAAGCCCCTTTAATCGAAGTCGCATCAGGAGATCAACTTACAGGTGGTATTTGGTAGCTCTTTCTTGCTCCCAGAGTCGTCTTCAAGGCTTTGACAATAAAAGTCAACCTCTGACTCAGGTTTTGATACATCCCCCTTGAGATAATGAAATAAAGTTTTAAGTTACAGGAGCACAACCGAGAAGATAAATAGCCATACACATCTCACTCACATTTCCAAAGTCATTATGGTAAGCTTCACACAAGAAGAGATTTAAATTCCTCCTCGTCTTAGCCTGTAAGACCACACTGTTTTGAACTTGAACTTGGTGCAAAATTGTGAAAATCCTTCAAATTCGGGCTCAATTTGGAAGCCAGCTTCCCTTTTTTGACCTGCTGGAAACTAGGTTCCAAACAAATAAAGAAATGTTCCACAATTCCGCTTCACCTTAAAACTTACACATCACGCAAGACAAAATGGTTCACGGGCCAGGACAGACTGGGTGCCATTGCATATTTTAAATAAGTACAACCCTGTGATCCTTACCTTGGATTTGGCAATTATCTTTTAACAAAGCTGTTCTCAGTAATTTATTTAATTTTAATTTCACTGATGCAACAATCATAGAAACATCTACAGGTTGTGCACGGAACCATTAATCATGCTCCTCTTGTTTGGCTTGAGGTAATAAAACAAAACAAAAAAAGAACAAAATGTTTTGTTTCACATGGGATTTTGGTCGTTCGTTTTCATCTTTGGAGTCAAAGTTCAAATGCAGCTCAGCACACTAGAATTTCGACTTGGAGGCTAATGTTCAAACACAGCTCAGACTTAAGGGATGAAAGTATCTCAGTCTAGAGATGCCTCTAGCATATCTTACATATTTTCACATATAAATAATACTAAACATATCCTTGGGTGGTATAGCAGTTAACGTCGATTGCTTCTAGTCTAAATCCTTGCATTCAATACTGAACTGCTGGGATTTGGATTTGAGTCAAAAAAAAACTGGATTCTCTCACTTTGACTTGTGATGACGTAATCTTCATATGAATTGTAGATCAGTTGCAATATTATTAAAGAGCAGAGTATATCTGAGAAAATCATAGCAGATTTATGTAGTTTAATTCTAAGTTAACAAAGTTATTGACATTGTGCTAACCCTATCCCGTCTTTGTTTTGCATTGAAAAAAATAGGAACTGGCAAAATTCCACCCGATATTGCAAAACTCCGCTGGCTGGTACAACTAAAACTGCTTAATTCATATTCTATTTTATATTAAAATCCACATTCAAACCTTTTGTACTCTTAATTGCATTGTCCATTAGCTTAAATGTCTGAGCACAGTTGTAAATGGTTTGATAATTGTTGCAGCACTAAAGTCCGCTCTGTATGGCACTGAGTCACTGTGAATTCAACTGATTTAATTCTGGTGATCAGTAGGTGGTGGCAAGCACAGAAACAAATGCCCGAAATCTCTCAAAATCCAACAGCAGCTGCGACAGAGTAAAGTAGCAGGAAAACTATACATGCCATGAAGACAGCCACCCTCATCCAGGAGCAACATTGCCTCTCTTACTTACTGCAGCAACACCATGGCAGCAACATGCCTCACATCTCATTGCTGCTCTTCAACCCAGAGCCTAGCATTAGCTGGAAGGCAGGCAAAGGAATGCACCAGGTCAATGTTATTTACCTGAAGTTTTTGTCCCACTTTGACTTTCTGAACAAAAGAGGGTTTATGAAAGAAAAGTTTAGCTAATCCTAAATTAAACTATATTTTAATACTTTTTCCTTTATGTCCTGAAGGATTTGAGGATGTTCACGGATTCTCCCGAAAACCTTGTTGTCGATTGAGCAATAAAGGCCAGTAATAGGTCAGGAGCCAGAGAAATGGGAGAAAGCAAGATGGAATAAAGAACGCAAGTTTTATTTAGTTAAGAATGGGAAAGAGAAGGTCCAACCCCATTCACACGGTTCCCTACAGGAGGATGAAGAGATTTGAGTTTCTCCAGAACACAGAGAAGTCACCTGAGAGGGTTTACCATTGACATCTCTTGCAATTTAAGTGTTTGTAATTAGTAAAATATTGATCCTTTGATGGTGAACCCGCGGTAAGAGTGAGCTCGTCTATTAAACCTGAATTCAATGCAAAAGGTAATCTTATTGATTCAAAGACAAATGAGATCTATGGACTGTCCTACATTGCAAGAAATGGAGTTTGTGGCTTTGAGTTGGCAAGCAGAATGAAATCCACTTGTAAACTCCTCCCTGATACAACAAGACTGAACGTCAGTAAACATAAAAGCTCTCATTCCATTTACCTCACGTTACACTGAACATTGAGGTGAGGCCCAAGTGAAGGACTCCTTTTAGTAACCAAATATATATCCCATGCGTTACTGACATTCAACTGTAGAAAGTTACCTCTCATCCAGGACTTGATGTCTGACAGACATTCCATCAGGATAGCAGTGGTCCTGGAGTCGAGGGTAGAGAGGCAGGCAGAGAGGTAGAGCTGGATGTCATCTACATACATGTGGAAATTCACCCATGTTCTGCAGATGATGTCATCAAGAGGGAGCATGTAGATATTGAGATGTCACAAAATCCATGATGTCCCCCTCAACAGACAGACCATGCCTAGGTTCAAGGTGTCTTCCAAAGGATGGAACTACAAAAACGAGCTGTATTTATACAGTGCCCTTCACGTCGGGAGGATGTCCCAAGCTGCTGAACCTCCAACAATGCAGCCCTCCCCCAGCACTGCACTGAAGCGACTACAAGATCAAAAATAAGATCAAGGTGGGGCTTGAACGACAACTTTCTAACCCAGAAGCTACTAACTGAGCAAGACTGATAATTTCAATGGAGGGTGGAATCTCAGTCACGTGATGAGCTACGTTTTGTAGAACTGGCATAATAATAATAATAATAAGAAGAATGCTCCTCAACTAGACACATGAGCTTCTTAGAGGGTCGAAAGATCAAATTGTCATTTGGCCTTATTTCTGCGGTCACACAGGGATCCTCTCAGGGAAGTTGCTTAGTTTTCCTATCTTCATTTAGAACCTGTTAGATGTCACTAAAAGTGATATTTGCTCCCTATGTTGTTAAAATTACCCTCTAAAAAAAAGGTGAAATTCTCATTTCAAAGCTAGGAAAGACCAAACTGTAGCTTTCATCAAGGAAGACTGACTGAGTATTGCCACCTACCATCACTTCATTACCATAGGATTGCTATCTATCTTCAGTTCCAAACGTTTGAGCTTCCTAGCTGGGGAATTGAAGAACTGAAGAAGTAAATTCTACTAAACCTACAATAATCCTTACATTTCATATAGCGTTATTTCAAAGCACTTCACAGGATGTACCGTTAAGTGTTGTGCCTCTGAATTTCATAGGTAAATGCAGTAGTCAATGTGCACATAGCCAGGATATGATGGAGATTTCCAGTCAAAGAGATGTCAGAGGCGACATAACTGCATTTTAACTCTGGTTAACAGACTCAAAAAAAATCAAGACTATTGCTTTCTGGGGACTCTCTCCAGACACCAAAGTGATAAGGTTCTTTCCTTCCACTTTGTTTCAGAATTGGTTGTTGTGTGAACAGTTTACATACCCCAGAAGAGTCAACAGGTAGCTGAATACAGCTTAGCTGCCCAACCGGGTCCTCTCGCTTCGGAACTTCCTGGAGTAAAAAAAAAGTTTGGAACGTGACAGTAAGGGGGAAGCAGCTCAAATGTTTTAGACACTCAAATGTATATCAAAAATAATACACGCAGCCAATCCCCCCAAAAAGTGGGTAAAAAAAATCAATATCTGCACGGAAATTGGAATAGTTCACATACAAAAAAATACATTATGTAATAACTTCAGGGTAATCGGTATCCATTGCGGGGTTGCTGATATTAAACTGAAACAACTGAGGCAAATGGGTAGGTTTACATCCTGTCACTCTTGGACCTTAAAAAAAAAGTTTGAATCACTGGGGTAAAATTTGCAGTATTCCTCAAAGGGTTCCTTAACTTATTTAAGGAATACTTTCAGAAACACCAGCAGGTGGCATCCCTCCAACCTTTGTTAATAAATTAGCCTGAGCATAGCCTGTAATGAAAGAGGTGTATATCAACACTTTAACTACTTGGTTGGTAAAGGCTGTGGAGAAATTGTACCGAGGATTGCCTAGATGCAGGAGATGATAGCGGAGATGTCTGTTCTCTGGTGACAAACCACAACATACAAATTGCATTTCAAAGTTTTGCAACATGTATGCAATGCAACAGCGTTTTATTTTAGGAGAGAGAGAGAGAGAGAATGTGAGATAAGAGGGAAAGGGCAAATTATGAAGGTACTGTTTCATTAATAAGGAAGAATAGAGCTACAGAAACAGAGGGATGAGCTTCAAAAGTATAAACGCTATGATAGGTTCAGGGCAAGTGACGGTGTTCTGAGGAGATGGGGAGGGCAAGGTAGAACGAAGAATGGATACAGAATGATAGAAACATAACAGAGCAATGGATTTTCTTCATCAGTGCTGATTGTCTATGTGGTAAACTCCTAACAAGGTTACACTTATGCCAAGTGATATCAAAACGCTTCAGAAGGGATTGAATCTCCAGCACTGTGTAACTCACGTGTATTGTATATCACACAAACAGGCAGCCATACCCCACACCAACATCACACACAGGCTACCAAAGGACTGGCACCAATACACTCACAACAGTGGTTACTGATTAAAAGAAAAAAAAGAGAAAAAGAAACCCAACGCAACACGGTGAAAGAAACAAGCCATGCAAACAATCTCCCCTCCCTTCCTCCCAATCCCATACAGCAGCCAGACTCCAAGCCAAAGTATGCAGTTTTATAGAGCCACCTTATTTCTATACAAGTTTGGCTGCTTAGCAACCACGACTGCCAACAGAGCCATGCACTAAAAATAACAAATGTGTTTATGTACTGTACATCACTGGAGAACTAGGGGAATAAATACAGCATAACTCTCAATTTGCTCAAGTGAAGAAATCCCAATGGGAATGGAAATGGTTTGTTGACAAGATGAATGACCCAACGCTGTGTTACCGTGACACTTGAGGTAACACAGACATTATCACCATTCCACAAAAAAAGGCTCACTATAAACCTGAATAAAACTATTTATGTTCAAATCATGTTTTGGGGCAATTGCAGCGACGGCAAATATTCTATTAGTCAATGATCTCATCGGTCTGGTCACCGGCAATGAATAAAAAAGAAGTTCCTATCCATTTTAGCTGTGGTCTGACCACACGGAAACCCATCTCCCTGTTTCAGAGTATCCAAATTAATCTATGAGTCCCATGCAGTCCACCTACGTATGGGAATTCTTGTATTAGAATCACAGAAAGTACATCACAGAAGGAGGCCACTCAGTCCATCAGACCTGTTGCCATCTCCTCATATCTGCAGATACTAGTCCCTGGTCCCTGTCAGCACAGAACAGTCAGACCACTCAACGTCTAGAGAACTTAGTCATTAGCAATTTAACTGGCATTGCTAAATATACCTGCAGGTCACTAGTTAGTTATAAGGATATTTTTGTAAGTGTGAAAAATTAGTAATTCAGGTGTATAGCAAATTGTTTTTTGCTGGAACAAACCATTAGACATGAATCTTGGTATAATATACTCAGCATATAAATAAACTCAATGCTATTGTTGGAAGGTACTCGTTATCCTCTGATTTCAAGACAAGGTAAAGTATTAATTGGATCTATTTCCATGTACTGCTAAAAATAGCGGTTGTTTTGCTATTTTAGATGATATTTATCAGATTGAACTAGACCTGGTTGTAAGTTTCAGCATGTATACAGGTTAATTTGCCAGTAGGTTAGCTTGTTCAAGGTGTAGCTTCCCAATTTCAGTTTAAGCACCGAGCTATACTTATGAAAATTAGGGATCACATTAAAGAGGAACTTTAGTGGCTTGAAATTAAGGAAGAACTTTAGTGGCTTGAAATCCCCTCTAGTCTCAGCTGGTGTGATAGTTTTGTTTTAAAAAAAATCAAATGAAGTGAACAAATTTCAAATTCTTTTTCTTACTTTTTAATTTGTGGAAATCCGGTTTCCCAATTAAGACTCGTTTTAAGAATGTTCCAGCATTTTGAATTTTAAGACAAAACTATCTCACAGCCTATAAGTAGATGGAAGTTTGGGCCCCCAAAAAGTATTGATCTAGTTTGCCACATAAACATAAAAGGATTATAAAGGAAGATATCACAGATATTTCTTTACTTTTCAGTACATTTACCGACCAGTCCTTTCATCTCAGAGTGCCCACCTTCACAAGACCAGGCTTTATGACAACTTTGAGGACGGCATTTTCCCGAAAGTAACAGTCTATCGAGAGCAAATCTCTCATACTATGCAAGCAATGAAACCACCGCCAATGTTAGCGGTCTCTCAGGTCTGCCACCGAGTCTTTTTTGAAAGCATGATTCACAAACATGGAGCATTTTTAGACTCCAGTAAGTTCAGATGTCAACTAACAGCAGAGAGTATGTGGCAATCAAGATGAAATACAGTTCCCCTTTAAGACACGGAGCAGCAAAAGTCAAGTTCAGAATCTGAGGCTCAGTTTACTGCATTCTTTTGTGGAATCGAAGGGTCCCGACCCAACGGTCCAGCGCCTTGGGATGTCCTCCCAACGTGAAAGGCGCTCTATAAATGCAATCTTGTTGTTGAATCAGCAAGATCTGGCAAATTAACCTACCACTGGCTCTGTTGACAGGCAAAGCCCTTTCTACTGACAATCGTATTTATTTATATGCTTTGCTGACAGCTTTGCTGACAGGAATTATCCACCTTCCAAGCTGACAGCTGTTGAGCAGGGCAGCACAGCTCCACAACTTCTAAATCAGTAATCCCCCACCCCCCGCCCCCCCACCCCAGCTTTACCCATGTCGCTGCACAGAACTGATGTTTAGAAGGAAATAAAATGTCATGGTGACTGACTCGACAGCCACCAACTTTCAGCCTGAAGTTAGCATCGGAAATTTTCCCTCCACTACCACTACTCAAGGCAGTAACTGATCTTGGGATAGGGTTCTGAAGGTAGCGTCTCGCTCCTATATCTTCCCAAATGGCTACAGCTCATGTTCTATCGGGCAGTGAGTGCCAGTGCATGCTTCAAAATTGACTATCACACTCCTTTCAAGAGGCTATTCCCCCCAGTACATTACCTCAGTCTGAAATCCTTCCACCAAAATGGCAACTAACAAGTTAAAGAGAACATAGTTCCCAAATGTCATGAGGGCAATGAAGTACAAAGCAGCCCATGGCGAGGTGGAGGCCATTCCATTGTACAGGACCTTATTCCAATCTTCTTGAGTCAGTATCTGTGTGAGGTAAAGAATACCGCTGATTAGGTTTCCGTACAGAATAATAAGTGACGTCAGTGCACGAGTGTATCGATCATAATAAACCCGAGGCCCGAAATTCCACCTCGTTTCAGCTTACGAGACAATTTTGTCTTACAATTTAAAGTTGCGCAAAATTGGAGGGAACTGTTAAATTCAGTCTTAATTTACCACAATTCTGCACTTCAATTCGTTCAATAAAATGGTTAGACTGATTTGGAGTAGGTGGACTTTGGGCCTAATGGATGAGCAGACAAGCTGTACTCTATAGGTGAGAAATGCGTCCTGAGATGGTGGAACGTTTCAGTACCTGGAAGACTGTTACGATGGCCCAGAGAAGCGAATCGAAATTCTTCCGGTCTGGAAGGGTGTCTCCTTCTTTCTCCGATGCGAATTTACAGCCAAACAGGTGCATTCCCAGAATGCTGTGGGGGGGAGGGGAGGGAATCATTTATTAGACACAAGAAATCAATAACATTTATTATAATAATACTGATATTCTAATCAGTGAATAATGCATAACCGTAGGAGTTGTGCAAAAAATAGGAGTGACATCAGCAATATTCGTTAATGCAATCTTTATCTTAACCAGTCCAGTACTGCAAGTTCCAGATTACACCCAGATCTGTTTCAAAGGTTCATCTGCATCCCGGTTTCTACCCCAGATTACAACTACTCCTGACTAACAATACAGCAAATTCTGACCTCCACAATGCCTGTGTCTAATCTCTTCACCCCTTGTAGCTGAGAAGACTTTGAAGTCTGACATCATCGTAAGGAAATGGACCAACAAAGGAGATGTTTGCTCTCTTTCCCAAACTGGGCAGTTTCTTTGCTGTAAAAAGAACCCTTCACCTCCTCCCCGATGACAATATCTTTGGGTCAGAAATTTCAAAGTTTTAGTCAAGGGTTCTCACATGTGCCAGACACCCGTCCGACCAAAACAAAAACATTGTTCCTTTGGACTTTCAATTTAGTCATTTGAAGCATTTTTGTCTTATTTAAGGAACAGACCAGCAGGTGGCACTCCCTCTCCAAGTAAGTGGAATTAAAGATTTATAAGGAATGTGCACGGAAACAGGCCATTCGGCCCAACCAGTCCATTCCGTGCTGCTGTTTACAACTGTCCTACTGCAGCTCGCCCTAACTCCTTTTTTTGTTATCATAGTGCTTTAAAAATATATGTATTTTTAGTTGCTGGTGTTGAGGCTGGGTTGAAGCCTGACGATTGCTTTAAAAGTTATTTGTAGACCGGGGACATTTTCAATTACTCATCCCCCGCCCTCCGGCAATCACTCCCAGAAAACATGTATTAAAAAAAAAGTTACAAATCATCCCAGTGACTAAGAACGACATTTGAGTAAACATCACTGAAACATCTTGCAATTAGCTGCCGTGTTTCTCCCACACAATATACAGTCAATTCACTTTACAGTGTATCCTGTGAAGCGCTTTAAGACGTCTCGAACACGTGATAAGGGGCTGTATTAAATGCAAGACTTATTATTGTTATTATGGCAGCACGGTAGGGTGGGTGTTTTGGAAGGATGAGATCAGATTGACTAAAGGGTCCTTCTTCCTCTGAACACACCTTGCGATCTTGTGAACTTTTCTAAACTAAAAATAAGGCATCAGGTGAGTTTGACGAGGACGAATGCACTTACCTGCAGAGGAAGATCCACCTGCTGGTAGTTATGGAACATTCCTTAAATAACACAATGAACGCTATAAAACGGCCACAGATTTTAGCCCCAGTGACTGTCCAATTACAGGGCGAGCACGTTCTTTACTGCTGACCTGAAGATGAAGATGAAGAGCATGAGCAGCATGCAGAAAGTGGCCACGTTGTCCATCGTCTTCATCAGGACCACCAGCTGGCGCTGTAAGGCTGGCATGAACCTCACCAGCTTCAGCACTCGCATCAGACGGAAGGTCCTCAGCACTGACAGGCCTCCTCCCTGCTGCCCGACAATCTCCCACACGCTGAGTCAGGGCGCCAGACAGACACGGAGAAGGGCAGAGGAAGAGAGGGAGAGGAACAGAATGAGATAACGAAGAGAGAGATGGAAAGGGAGAAAGGGAGGGAGGAAGATGGAGGGAGTGAACGGAAATGAAATTTAAAGATATAGCGTTATAATACAACGTTAAACAAAAAATGGTGAAATTATTCAAATCAAGTGCATCTCAGATTACACTATAAATGTGAGTTATCTCAGAGGGTTAACCAATTAACCTTAGCTTTGGGTCTTAGTAAAGGTGCTAATCAGCCTGTGTGCCACTGAAAAATCAATGGGCCTTGTGTTCCTGATCAATATCCAGAGACCACCCTCCCCCGGGTGCAGCTCTGTGGAATGTCCCCCAGGACATTGAGTGTGGGTAGTGGGATCCACAACAACTTTCATGTGACCTGTGGAAGAAATGGAACAAATGACCTTTTTCTAAGCCTCACAAGGCTCTTAGCTGGGTCACGTGTACAATCAGAGTATCTGATAGTGACTCTGTATCTCAGACATAACTGGAATGTAATTCCAGGAGTCATTAATGATGGCCATGGATCAGACCCCAAAGTTGGCTGTGTGATAAATAAAGGCATATATAAAGAAAACAAGCAGAGGTGATATTATTTCAGATATTCGGCCCCTAGTTGTTTCCCTGATTGTGTTATTCATTTCAGGTCCTGTCTGTCTTGTGATTCCGGTGAATATAAAGGGAGCACCCTGCCGCCACTTCAAAGAAGAGTGGAATATATCTCCCGGTTTCTCCTGGTTTATATTCCACTTCCTCAACCAAAATTCACCCAAATTCAAATAAATAGGCTGCTCATCTCGGTTTAAGTGCTCTGAGTTGCTACCTAGGTGAAGGGCGTCATATACATCCAAGTTGTTGATTTCAGTCGTTGCTGGTACAGATTAATTGTTGCGATTGCCTCCAGAAAAACATTCTTGTAATTTCTGATCAATTACATTTCGTGAAGGTACAATACAATTTACATTTACACAGTGCCTTTTGTGTCTCAAAGTGCGTGCAGCCAAACTCTTAATTATTAATAATCTCGCATCTAAAGAATGATACCTTGCATCCACGGCTGATTGTGGGAGACCGCTGTCCGCAATTGGCTGCCACATTTCGCCCACAAAACATACAGTCAATTCACTTTACAGTATATTCTGTGAAGCGCTTTGAGACGTCTTGAAGACGTGATAAGGCGATGTATCAAATGCAACAATTATTATTATTTTGTTATGTTTACCTGATAACGACGATGATGCCATCAAATATGTTGTACGGGTTCCTGATGTAGCCAAAGGGACCGGACACTAAGATCTTCAGCAGCATTTCCAGTGCAAATAGGCTTGTGAAGACAATATTGCTGATCTCCAGGGCATTTGTCAGCTCCTCTGGCTAAAACAAAACACATCAGACACTCATTTGTCACCAACCTTCTTAGCTGATTTTACATCAAGCAAAATATACCATTTAACAACAACAACAATTTAACCCTTTAGACCAACTTTCATGTCACAAGGATGCCTCAAAGCACTTCGCAGAGCTGCCTGAGAGAGAAAGATGACCAAAAGTGCGGTCAAAAAGAACGGTCTTAAAATAGGCTTTGAAGGTTGGGAAGGAGATAGAGTGGAGTTCAAGGTACAAGATTCCAAATGGGATAATAATAATCCTTGCATTTGATATAGCACCTTATGTTGCTGAGACATCTCAAAGAATGTATCGTAAAGTGGATTGACTATAATATGTGGGTGAAAAAAAATATGGTCAAAAAGCGACTTTGACCATGTAAAATCATTTCAATCATCTGATTGCGCCCAGCAATGTTCCACAAACAGTCACGGATAGAGAAAGTAAACCTAGAATAATACAGTCAGATATACCAAGAGGACACAAGTTCAGTTTTGCTAAGGACAAGCACCCGGAAGTATTTACACAGAAGGGAATGTTAAATTAAATTGGAAGTTAACAGGAAGGTTGGTTAAGGCCAGGACTTCTCCCTCCCATGTTTGGTCTTCACTTATCTCAGATTCATTGAAATTCCCCATCCCCTCCCCACCAAAAATATGTTTAAAAAATGTTCAACAACTGCCAAATTGCCCATCAGTTAAACATTGCCCTCCAGGATATAAGCCAATTAGGTTTCACAATGTTGGCTGATTGTGGCGCATCTCATTAAAACTTGTTTATCAGCAGATATGGGGAATGAAAACTCAAGCGTCTACAGAAAAGCTTGAGTCAAAAATAACAGAGGCACACATGGCTCGGGTTATTTTAGAGCGGAAATATGCGTCTGTGAAATCTAAATTGCAACACTTCTTGTTCCTTACAACCTAATAATTCCCTCCACGCAGTTTTTAAATATTCTTCACTGCAGTCCCAGTTAACCCATTTGCAGATTAATGTTACCCCAAAGCCTGCACTAATGCTAAGCTGCGTTTTACTCTTCAGTTGTCAGCACGTCTCCAGAGACTGACATCTCCCGAGGCTTTAACCTTACGCAATGTGATTTTGTAACTCAATGATCCATGCATTTGATATAGCTTCTAAATGCTTCACAGCTAATTGTTGTTGAATGTAGTGACTACAAATACAGCAGCCAATTTGCACACAGCAATGTCTCACAAGCCATGAAAAGAATAATCAATTTATCTGGGGAACTGTTGGTCAGGACACTGCGAGAAGCACTCCCACCGCCACCTTCTCTTTTCCCTTAGTGCCACGGATGCTTTAATGTCCACCTGAACAGGCAGACAGGAACTTGGCTTAACATCTCATCTGAAAAACGGAATCTCCGACAATTCAGAGCTGTACTGGGAGGTGAGCTCAAAGTTCCTGACATAAGGTTTGAAACCAGAGTTAAGATCCCTACCAACTGAGCACCACATTCATACGATTGTAGCATGGATCAAGTCTGATGGCATCATAGTGTGAAAGGCACTATACAAATGTAAGTTGTTGTAGCTTTCCAGTCAAACGTCCCATTGCTGGGCATCTTCCCAGCTTATATCGACATCCTTAGCTATGGAGTGCTAAAACGATCCAATTGAGTGCTATTCCTTTTGATATAAGGGCTGTGAAAGTGCACAGAATGGTGTTGACAATCTGCGCCCTGAATTACCACAACATTAAGAACTCAGGCTCTTAACTGCAAGCTGTGGCTTTCTTCACTGAACTGGCATCAAAAGGAACGCGTGCATTAGAAGCCACAGTCCATATGGTGCAAAGCTATCAGAGTAACACTTGAGCCCTACTTTGCACCAGGTGAAGGTGGCTGCTGTTACTTCTCTGGATTCAAGTTCGCTGCTTAGGGCGGGGATCGGTTTACTGCAGTTACAAAATGGTGTAAATTCTAGATGAATACTAATAATCCTCGCATTTGATACACGCCTTGAAAGTCAGGAGTACTTGACAAAACACAGTATATTTTGTAGGCAAATGATTGGAACCAGTTTGAACACTGAGTATGTCAGGAAGCATCCAAGGCTTAATAGTTTTAATAGCGATCTTCATTACAGCATGTTATTTCACTTGTCCTATGAGGAAAAAATTCTGTTCACTTTTATCCACAGTGCCTATGGCAATATTAGCCACTCGTGGGATTTCTGCATTGCCAATGGCCTAACATTGAACAGAATTTTTACCCCCTGATGTTTTGAGAGGACAAATAGTGAATGATTATTCTTGCTGGTTGATGAATTGGTAAGAAGACAAGTCACTGAAAACACTTGGGGAAGGTTGGAGAAAATTGTTTTACTCAGGGGACTTTTGGAACGCGCCAAGTTCCGCAATGAATGGTTATTGAAACCTAAGGCCACAACAGCTTTCAAAAAGGAATTGTGGTTTTCTTGTGAATAGTCCAAAAAGCAATGAAACTGACAATGTCACTGTGTTCATAGACAAGGCAACAAGCAGAGTTACAGCAATAAGCTTTGCTCTTTAACCTCATCTTGCCGACTGGAGTCAGGCAAAAGCAGAGGTCAAATGGCATCAGCACAGAACACAAACTGCACTTATCTCCAGGACAATAAGAATATAAAATAGGAACATAGGAACAGGAGTAGGCCATTCAGCGAGCGCACTAACTACTATGTTACAGGACTCCTCAAATCAACACAAATAACAATAGCAGAAAGCACTCATCCTAAATTTCAGTATTGCTTGGCTAGGACTTCTCTACCCACAGGGTTGAGGACATGTCCATAACTCCCATGTTTAATGAGCCAAACCAGAACCGCCAACTATTCCCTGGAGAATTGGCAGCCATCTGGTTTCACTTGATGAGCTAGTTCAACCACAGGGAGACCCCGCGCACCTCCCTGTGAAGGAGGACATTTTTAGAGATGACAGTCATCTTATTAACATTGAAAGGAATATGTTTACATGAGGGAGAAGGAAACAAGAGCAATACAAGATAGGGGAATAGGAGGAACGGGAGCTCGTGAGGAGTACAAATATCGGCACAGACTAGCTGGAGCGAATGGCCTGTTTCCATGCCATATGTAAATCCATATCGACCCAACCAGGATTCTGTCTAACCAGGTAACTTGGGATTTTACTTCACCATTATTTCTGCACAACAATCAGACACGGGAGGGAAGCTTCAAGTATTAATGTCAGAGTCCACAACACCTTAATGCTGCAGTTCCGTTCTTCCAAGAAATGTCAGAACTACCACAAGGAAGCTGGAGTGACCTGAGCGTCATCCACACCTGTTATGACAGGAGCTGCTGATGTTTACTGCCTTCATTAGGCATTGTTTTCACAGTGGGATTGATTGGAACAGAATGTGGCACATCCAAGGACTGAAATAAGACATCAGCCACAGATGTGTGAAAACAATAGTCAGGCTAGGATATAGCACCTTATCACGTCATTCCGATGGCTCAAAGCGCTTCACAGAATATACTGTAAAGTGGTGTGACTGTGTATTTTGTGGGTGAAATAAATTCCTTTATTCGTTGTGAAAAGAATTTCTTCACGGCAACAAAGAAACTTGCTCTTCTCACCTTTTCACCTTACTTTGTCATTTGGAAATAACAACCAAAGCAGTGATTGATTGTTGCACACAGTTCTCTTTATGTTCCTACATTGGCTCACCAACCTTGATTTTAAGTTCACTCCGAGCTATTGAAAGCTCTTGAATCGATTGGATCAGTGAATTTGGAATCCCGCCAAGGGATCATCAATAACTGCTTCACATGTATTCTCGTCTAAAGGAAATACTCACAAGGAGCTTCATCAGTCGGAATGGGCCAATTATCACACACCACTCACGCTAAGCAAGGAGCTGTACTTCTGGGACTCTGCCAACTGGATACACGGAAAGAAAAGCTGCTTACATGGTTCTAGTTTCACCGAAGCAGATGCTCTAATTTTACCTTAGAGAGGTTAACTATACAGGCCAAGTGGGAGCTTTAGCCAATGTTTTGTAATTCAGACGTCAAGATAAGAGCTTTGGTGTGACATCAAAAGGAGGGTCTTTGTTCAAGTTCCTTCAAAATTGAGGTGGTTTTCTTAAAGGGCATGGATAAGGTAGACTCCAGTAGTTTGGTGCGATTTCCATAACAAGGGGCTGTGGTCTCACACTTAGAAAGCGAATAGTTAATAGATGTGGTAGATTGAACTATATTACATACAACATGTTGAACAATTTGTAGGCCTGAATTTTCACTTAGCCTTAGCCTGGAAGCCCAATTTGTGATGGGATAAAGTGAATTGCCTGTATATTTTGTGGGCGAAACGCGGCAGCCAATTGCGCACAGGAGTGTCCCACAATCATGGATTGAGTGACCAAGTTACAATTTTTTTTGAAGGGATTGTTACCCCCGGAAAAGCGATCCACCAATCGACCAATAACTAGGTTCCTACTTACCGCTATTTAAACAGAGGCGTGTACAGTAAGGAAACTTGCCCAACATTTTGCCCTGCCTGGGAATCGAACCCAGGTCCACTCGCTTGCGAGGTGAATGCTCTCACCACTAAGCTACAGGACTCCACTCCACTATCCTCTCACCGGCTGCACCATTAGTAAGTGACCGATTGCTACCGTGCTGCTAACATGCAGCTACTGTACATTCCAACACTGGTACTGGTCCACAGGGATCCTGTGCCTCAGAATGTGTCTCACACTTCATCTGTGTCAATTAATCACCACATCTGTTATTGGGACTGAGCGGGATGCAATTTCAATTAACTCTGTGACAAAGAACTGTTGCCGTTTCCAGGCCTCTCACTAACCCTGCACAAAAGCAGCAAATTATTTTCATTGTCAGCCATATTTCAATGAAGCTCTGTTCTTTTCAGTGTAATTTGTTTCATTTGTGGAAACGTGAGCTCCCAATGGCAGAAAATCCATCTCTGTTCTTTAAATTGATTTCTCAGAAGGAATAAAAGAA